ATTCTTTCCAGTATAGAATCCGAATACTTGGTCCATTTGTTCCCAAGAGCTCTTTAAAATTTCTAGTGGTTTACTTTTGCTTATGAACCCTGGATTATACTTTTAGAACTAACCTTGATGTATATTTAAACAACTTGGTGATTTTTTTCATAGTTTATAGTCAGAAAGCAAAAACTATGGAGACTGAAATCTTTCTCGTCTTCGTGGCCATATAGCATTTAGCAATAGCACTTAGACTTATATACCACTTCATAGTGCTTTACAGCCCTCTCTAAGCGGTTTACAGAGTCAGCATATTGCCCCCAACAATCGGAGTCCTCATTTTACCAACCTTGGAAGGATGGAAGGCTGAGTCAACCTTGAGCCTGGTGAGATTCGATCTGCCAAACTGCTGGCAGCCGGTGATCAGCAGAAGTAGCTTGCAGTATTGGACTCTAACCACTGCACCACTGCGGCTCATTGATATAGAGAAGATGAATAAATAAACTCAAGGTTTTCCTTGAGTTTATCATGACTCATATATAATGCTAAACCATAGTTTAATATGTTCAAATGTAGCCAGTAAGTCTGTATGCATGTACTTTTCATATGGATTAGATTTCATAGTCATGTTGTTTGCAATTTGGAACAGAAAAAGGCTACTGCTGACCTGCATTCTTAGGGAATTAATCCATGTAGCTGTTAGTCCAAGCCTTTCTTATATATTTCCAAAGCTTTTACTAACTTACCTAAATGTTTCTGGTTTGAATACATAATTTTGAATCCTGGAACAATATTTTGACAAATATTGTACAGAGCAGTGCAGAAATTGCTTTAAAATACATTTAAGAGCATGCTATTTTAAGAGATGCGCACTCGAGTTTAAGTGTTTCTTAAGCATGCTGATTTCAGGCTATTTAAATGATGCACCAGATCGTGACAGATTGCCATGAAAAGTTTGCTTAATTTATTTTACAGAGCTTATAGGCTATTTTGATCACAGGGCATTGGGTAGTGGCTGGAGACCCATAAATGTACCAAATTCAGACTAGCCTGGGACAATCTTGAGAGGCAAATAGGAAGAGTGCATAAGGGCAGCTGCCATGCAGAAAAGCGAACCTCAGATTCTCTGAATGCCAGCAATTATACCCACTTCACCTTGGTAAGTCAAAAAGGTGATGCTGAAACTGCTCAGACTACATCCGCTGTGTTCAATTCCCACCCGCAAATTGCAAGAGACACTTTATTGGTAGTGGAAATAGAGAGATAGAGGATGACCTATCACAACTTACTATTTCAGGCCTACACCATTAATGTTTTGAAACAGGAAACTAAAGCATCAGGTATCGCGGTATAACCTAACCATGCTATGTGCCATTGCCAGCATTGCATAAGGAACAAAGCAAGAGCTTTCTCGTTTCAGGAGAAACACGTTTCTCCTGAAAGAGGTGGCATCCATTCCAACATGATCCCTAACCACAAATCAATACAAAACAAAAGAGATGCATCATGCATAATGTAATTGACTGTTGCAGTGCGCTGTATACGGGGCTTTCCTTAAAAAGCCTCCCGAACCTGTCAGTCAGCCCAAAATGCAGTGGCCTGCATGGTTTTGTGTGAGTCCAAATTTGCATTTGTGTCACTTCTGCAGGTAGTCCTCGACAATCATTTGTTTAGCGACTGTTTGAAGTTATAACAACACTGAAAAAAGTGACTTGTGACTAATACTCACACTTACGACTATCACAGCATCACCACAGATACTGTATGTGATCAAAATTTGGATACTTGGCAGTGGGAATGAATTTCTGACAGCTGTACTGTCCTAAGATCATGTGATCACCAGTCGCCAGCCAGCTTCTGACAAGCAGTGTCGATGGGCGGAAGCCAGATTAGTTTAATGATCACATGACTCACTTAGCAATTGTAGTGATTCAGTTAACAACTGGTAAAAAAAAGTTCATAAAATCAGGTATGACTCATTTAACAACTTGTTTAAACAACAAATTTGAGGACTACCTCTAAAATTAGTTTAAATACATAAATGCATAGGTGCATGCATACATACATACTTATTTACATATAGTAGTTAAGTTGGAGACGTCATACATTTTTGGGATGGGATCTATTCTTAGAAATTTTTATGTAGAGAAGAAACCTAAGTTTAAATATTAATCAGATGCAAACCCTTAGCATTTGCTGTATTAAATTGGTCCCTGCGTTATATTCTGGTATATATGTAGTTTAATTTGCATCAGAAAACATAATTTAGTATTTTTAATAAGATGAAATTCATAATGAATCTGGGCAAATAGTATCCTGTTTCCCCTAAAATAAGACATCCCCTGATAATAAGCCCAATTGGACTTTTGAGTGCATGGCAATAAGGCCAAGCGCTTATTTCAGGGTTCAAAAAAATATAAGACAGGGTCTTATTTTGGGGGTAACATGGTAATGTTTTGTACCAATTAAGCAACTCATTTTGAATTTGCAACTTGGTATACAACTCTCAATATTATTGGATTTGAAAGAAATTGCAATTTTAATAAGATTTTTATAAGCATTGAAATTTGCAATGAAAAATAATGCTTTGGTTTTTGTTGTTGCTGACATTGCAGGAAATTGTGCCTCTACTTGAGCCTTTGTGTGGATAATTATTTTTCCTGTTTCTTTTCCTTTGCTGGGGTGGGTGGGAGGGGGCAGGGAGGGAAGATTATCTCTAAAAAGGAATAGAAACTTCGAAATAAATGTTAAAGGTTGTAGAGGAAAGTAAATCTGATAAAGGAAACCACTGGAGCAAGCTAATTTTTATTGTCTGTAAATCACAGGAGTCATTCATCTATGCCCAGCCCAGATCATAATTTATTAATTAAAACCTTTTATAATAAAATGTGGTTTTTATCATTCATAGCATTTTGTCAAGATTCTGAAATAGCACCTCTTTAACTTTAAAATTTCAATCCCTCATGACTGTAGTAATTAAATCTTTACACTTGACTGCCAAATTTTAATTTATTATTAGATTTCTATGTCTTTATTTTCTGTAATTCAAGGCAGCATATCTAATGCTTCTGATCCGTTTGCTTCACAGCAAAAACCTGAAAGGTGGACTCACCTGAGAAAGTGGCCCAAAGTCACCTAGCTGGCTTTGGTACCTAAGAGAGGACTAGAAGACACACAGTCTCCCAGTTGGTCTTCTGGTTTCTAGGCCCACACCTTCAGCACTGTACCAACCAGGAGCTTCAGTCGAGTGCTTCAAGAAACAATTTTTAACAGCTTTATGAGGTGAATTAGGCTGCCTTTATAACTTTTAGCAGTACCCAACTGAAGCCCCTGGTTGTGACACCTGCTCTGCCCAAATCCATCCTTTGCACTTGGTTGCCAGCCAATTATGATTATTTGCTAGCCTTCAGGGGAACAAACCTAGGGCTGCTCCTGTGGGTATTTATTTTGTGAAACCCATTAGATTTAAGAAAAACCACCTTTTCACTCATGTAATTTAACGTCATGCCTGATGAGCAAATTCTTTACACACTGGAATGTTATCCATAAGAGGATACTGATTTATATTCAAAACATTTCAAGCTTGAAATGGGTTATTCTGGTGTTATTGGAAATGTTCTGGATGTTCCAAGATGTTCAGTGCTTGATTTAGAACTTGTAACTTCTCCAAAAAATTAAAACAGTACTGGAAACTTTCCAGAAAGGTCTGAACAATTGTTTCCAACTTGAAACAGGGCATATTGAACAGAGTTTTTTAAAAAAAAAATAAAATGGCTGTCAGTCATTTTATTCTTAATTAAGCCACATAACAAATATAACTACTGGTATATTGTGTTCTTTTGTCCTTCAAAAGCTCCTTCATAAATGGGATTGTAGGACAGTGACTTAAAGACAAATATAATGTAACTGCAAAGCAGAAGTAGACAAATCGCATATTCCAGTTTAAATTTGCTTAGCTCATCTCACAGAGAATTGTAAATGTCTTTATAATACCTCTGGCTGTACCTAACTCCTTGTTTTATCCAATTCTCATCTATGTTTCAGAATTTCTCCTCTGCAAGGTGTGTGTGTGTGTGTGTTTATTATATTTCAACATACTCCTTTTAACCTCACGGTGAATTTTTGTTACTTTATTTGTAGAAGATGGAGAAATAGCAAATGTCCAAAACACAGTGGAGACGAGACCCAGTTTGAATACAGATCTGAATCCAGTGTTAACAGTCGCAAGATAAAACGGCAATCATTTGTAATATGCGCAGTAAGAAAAAGCATCCCCAAGTTTTGAGATTTTAGAAGCGATAGAAGAGAGAGGCAGCACAATATATATGATGTGTTTGGTTCTGAGAATGCATTTAAGTAAAGCAAAATCAGATTTGAGGTCAGGATGTATTCAATCGGTAAGGACAGCTGGTGTAATTTTCTAACTGCCCCCCAGCGATGCTATCTCAGGGTCATTTTGTGAAATTGATTTGCTCAGTAACTCTAGTAAGCCTCCAATGGGAGTTTCACTAAGAACTTTTTCAAAAATTAAATAAGCCCTAAAACTTTCATGAGAACCACTTTAGTGTAATGATTAAGGCACCAGGCTAGAATCTGGGAGACTGTGAGTTCTAATGCCAATGTAGGCAATAATCCAACTGGGTGACCTTGGGCCAGTCCTTCCCTCTCATTATCAAGAGAAGCAACCTAGAACTAAGAAGAAATTTCCTGACAGATCAATTAAGCAGTGGAACGATTTACTTCCAGAAATTATGGGTGCTCCAACACTGGAAGTTTTTAAGAAGAGATTGGACAACCATTTGTCTGAAATGGTATAGGGTTTCCTGCCTGAGCAGGGCATTGGAGTAGAAGACCTCCAATAATAATAATAATAATAATAATAATAATAATAATAATAATAATAATAATAATAATAATAATAATAATGATGATGATGATGATGATGATGATGATGATGATGATGATGATGTCAGACTTTGATGCTATCTCAAAATAAATGAATTTCCAAATTACCAATCTTTAAGGAAATCTCTTTATTCGAGTACAGCAACCGGATCATGACTCGTGCGGACAAGACTGACCTTTTGCCCCCCAATCCCTCCCTTTCCGATCCCCAATTCTCTGCTTCTCATTGGCTATCTTCCAAGTCACTCTCCTGACTTCTTGTCTCGTCATTTCACAGGAATGTTCCCCCCTCTTCATTTCCACGGAGACCGAGCTTCAAAGGGATTTAGCAGGCAAAAGTTCAGGGCTTATCTCCCTTTTCTATGTCAGCGTTGAGATGCTGACAAATAATATTATTATCCCAACTGCAAGGACTAATCTAGGCAATTGCTATAAATCAGCACCGATTCAAAAGCACCATCCCCCAATCCAATTCTATGAACCCTTTCCTATTAGCACCCCATCATCATTGTTTTAAAGCAGCGGTCCCCAACTCCTGATCTGTGGACCGGTTTTTTCTCTTTGAAAATGTTTTGCTTCTCATCCAAGAAGCTTCTTCTCTTCAGTTCTAAAGACGCCTCTTGGATGAGAAACAAAACATTTTCAAAGGGAAAAAAATCAAAAAAGTCCTGTTGCCTTTTGGAAAAAGCACCTTTGGGAGAATTGAGTCTGATGTTATCCAGCTTAAAGGCAGACTGCAATTACATTTCATGTGCTTATTAAGGAAAACTGACAGTATTGCTTGAAAGGCAGTTTGGAAAAGAGTTACCCTGTGTCAGACCCCCTCTTCATAGCTTGGAGAGAGCATTCTGGAAAAGTGGTTTTAAGTATGTCTTGAAGACCCGGTCGTCCTGATGGAAAGCGAAAGGGAAAGGGAAGGGAAAGCATTAGGCATATGACTTGGTGGCAAAGACAAGGCAGAACATAATAGCTTGATTTTCTCATTATAGCCTCATAACTAACTGTCCATTTTTATGTTCACTGTGTTAAACTAAATGTAGTGAAACCAGGGTTCCTAAGTTCTTAATAGAAAGTAAATTTTTCCCTTATCCAGTTGTGTCTGACTCTAGGGAGTGGTACTCATTTCCAATACACAGTTGAAGAGCCCAACATTGTCTGAAGATGCTTCCGTGCTTATATGGCCAGCATGACTATACCCCAAAGTGCATGGAATGCTGTTACCTTTCCACTGAAGTGGTACCTATTTATATACTTGCATTTACATGCTTTTGAACTGCTAGGTCTGTATATTTTGTAAAAGTGGTTAGGTACTATGTTTTCTTAATGCAAGTTTAGTGTATTATGTGAAACAAACTAAACTGGCTATTGCCTGTTCCCATGTTTGTAAAACATGTACATAGTTTTCCCTTTTAATGCATTTTCTTGTCCAACTTATCATGAAAGGACTTCCGAAAAGGAGTACAAAGTCCTATTTAGAAACATTGAGACGGTCTCCGCATCAGGCTTGAGGCCTAGAAGTAATATACATGCCCATTTCAAATCCCATTAGACCATTAAATTCAGAATTTAAAGTTATTCAGAATGACTGCTTCAATTTTTCATTGCTCTTTGTACCAGGTAATCGGTATTCTTATAATGACAATTTTTTTTGCTGCCATCCTGCCTCTCTTGCTGTTTGCAGAGCTGCCCTTTTCTTTGACTGTTACCTGCTTTTTCTCTCCTCCAAATCAGCCCTCAAATCCCCTTTTTTCTCCTTCCAAGGTGTGTCCCAAATCATTTCAAATTTAACCTTTTCTGTTTGTTTTGAGTTCTGTTAATAAACCCTTGTTAGGTTACAGTTAGTTCTATCTTATCACTTCTTATGTCCAGATTTGTATATATTTTATATGTTTATATAGGATTAACCAAGTTATGGGGAATCACACAAATAATATATTTTTCATAATGCATGTTCAGCCTGAAAAATAGATTTTGTCTTCATCTCATGCTGAAAAAAGCAACTATTTCCTGTTAAATACTGCCTTTTAATGGTATTCCGAATAGAATAGAATAACAGAGTTGGAAGGGACCTTGGAGGTCTTCTAGTCCACCCCCCCTGCTTATGCAGGGAACCTACATCCCTTCAGACAAATGGTTATCCAACATCTTCTTAAAAACCTCCAGTGTTGGAGCATTTACAACTTCTGGAGGCAAGTTATTCCATTAATTGTTCTAACTGTCAGGAAATTTCTCCTTAGTTCTAAATTGCTTCTCTCCCAGATTAGTTTCTACCCATTGCTTCTTGTCCTACCCTCAGATGCTTTGAAGAATAGCTTGACTCCCTTCCCTTCCCTTCCTTTAGCACCCAGATTGTTGGGGGCAATATGCTGACTCCGTAAACCCTTTAGACAGAGCTGGAAAGCACTGTGAAGTGGTATATAAGTCTAAGTGCTAATGCTATTTCTATTCCATTGATTCTTCTCACCTGGTGATTGGTTGGTGACTTCTTGGCCCACTCATAAAGCCTCTGATAGACATGGCCATCATAGCTTCCCAGGGCTGAATTTAAACGTGCATCAGAAAAGTCAAAGGCATCCACCAATGGCACAGCATCTCTCCTGAAAGAGCACAGAAAATACTTTATGAGTCATAATTTATCAGTCATTAGTTCTACCCAAAAAAAGTACTGAAAGTACAACCCAAGTATCAAACAGAAGTTTTCATATAGATATCAAAACTGACTGAAATCAGAAATGTAAAAACTAAAGGTACAGAGGTAGCAGCAATTTTTAAGCATCGAAGTAAACAAGTTTTTAAAAAATCAAGCACTGGTAAAATATGTGACTCATGGGCAGGAAATGGATGGATCACCATTGGGATAGAAGTTCCTAGAGAGGTAACCTATGACTGTCCCATATACTGCAGAACTACAGTTTTCAGTATCTTTTGCCATTGGCCCTGGCCTGAAGTTCCTGCAAGTAATAATTTGGGTTCCAGACTTCTGTCTGTATAGAACAGGCATGTCAAACTCAATTTCATTGAGGGCCGCATTAGGGTTGTGTTTGACCTCTGGGGGCCGGGGTGGAGGGGCCAGGGTGGGTATGGCCAGCTCGACATCACTCCTGTCGGGGGCACCTGTGGTGGTACTGAGCACTCTGCCAGTGAAAACAGGCTCCTGAGGTCTGTTTTTGGCTGCCATGGCCTCCTGCAACCCTCTGCCAGTAAAAACGGAACTCGGGAGGGCTCCATTTTCCCGAGCTCCATTTTCATTGGCAGAGGGTTGCAGGAGACCGTGGCAGCCGAAAACAGAGCTAGGGAGCCCGTTTTCACTGGCAGAAGCACCACGGGCCAGTCCTTTGCTGTTTCCAGGGTGGCCCCACGGGCCAGATCTAAGTACCCTGCAGGCCGGATCCGGCCCCCAGGCCTTGTGTTTGACACCCCTGGTATAGAAGCATGTGTCCCTTTAACTTTGTAAAATCTAGAATGGGTGTCAAACGCGCGTTGTCATGGCATCACGTGATGTATCACAACTTTTTTCCCCTTCGCTAAACCAGGCGTGGGCGTGGCCAGTGTGTGACGTGTCCGGCCATGAGTTTGACAGCCCTGATCTAGAACAACAGGAATTCAGAATCAACTGCAAGGCTCTCTAACTGAGCATGGAAGCTAATGAAAGTTATACATATGAGCCAGAATGAAAAAAGATGCTTTGATCAACAATTTGCATAAGCTAAATAATAGTATAAAGAGTTAATTTTGTTTCACAACTCCCATTAATATAATTAACAAAATATGTTAATTATATTAATAAACAGTAGTGCAGCATAAACTATCCTTGACCTGATACAATATAAAAAAGATTGGGCAGGTTAAAGCAAAAATTTAGTCTGCATACCAGCTGACCAGCCACATGGGGAAAGTCACATATCTTGCTCTTGCCAACTCTTGTAACATTTTAATCCAAATCTTGTCCTTTCCTTGTTCCTTTCCAGAAACCTAAGCCTCCCTCCCACATAACTTTTGCATTTACTCTTATCACCTTTCCCTATTTATGCAGACTTCCATTTCATTTTTTTGGGGTGGGTGGGGGTGGGGTGTAATATTAATGGCCCTAATTTCAATTCTGCTTTTAAGTATATTACTATTATTCCCACTTTCTAAAATACTCGTTTCTCCAAATTTCTTCCCAAATAGTATCATCACTTTCATGTTTAATTCCATTCATTTTACTGGAGGCTCCTTTTTTTTTAACCTTTTCTACCCACTTCTAAAAACAAAAGAACTTCTAATTTCCCTCTACATTTTTTTTGTTTGCTTTTTGATTACATTCTTTGAACTTGTACACATATCCTTTCAACAAAACCAAAAATATGTACCATAATTGTCCACCAATACAACCAGATTCTGCAAGCTTTATAAATTATATACACACGGTCCATTTGTTTTGCAATATAATTTATTGTTCTATTAACTCTGAAGATAAAGCAAGAAGCTTATTGGAGCCGTGCCCTCTTATGACCACTGAAAATTTTTCTCAGCGGTTCCATTGACCGTGGTTTGCTCCCAAAATGAATCAGCCTTTTTACAAACTTAAAGACTAGGATGATTCTCAGACCTCAAAAGACATATAATCCTGTTTTACAGAGGAAAGAAATGAGTTGGGCGGGGGGGGAATACTAGGATAGTATTTCAATGGTAGCAATAGAACACAAAATGAAAAAAGTAGTCATTATGGTTCTGTTTATAATAAGTCAAGTAAATTAGATCTAGGCTGCTTTTTTGCACTCTGTAAAACATCTTATCCTCTGCCAAACAGATGTTGCTTGTCCCGTTCATTTTCATTCTGTCAAACAACATTTATATACTGAGAAAACTCTTCTGTCTGCAGCCTTTAAGTGGGCAAATAATGCATCATAGGGCAAAACTTTGTCAACAAAGCTGTAGTACCTCAAATGGGCTAACTTACAGAATGTTAGGACCAGTGATGGAATTCAGTTTTTTTTTTACTATTGGTTCTGTGGGCGTGGCTTGGTGGGCATGATGTGGCTTGGTGGGCATGGCAGGGGAAGGATACTGCAAAATCTCCATTCCCACCCTGCTCCAGGGGAAGGATACTGCAAAATCTCCATTCCCACCCCACTCCAGGGGAAGGATACTGCAAAATCCCCATTCCCACCCTACTCTGGAGCCAGCCAGAGGTGGTATTTGCCGGTTCTCCGAACTACTTAAAATTTCCGCTACCGGTTCTCCAGAACCTGTTGAATAGCACCCCTGGTTAGGACCCATTATTTCTGAGGGAATGAAATGTGGGAAAGTTATGGCTGCTTCAGCACTGCTGGGCTGCTGCTATGGTCATGTGATATTTTTTTAATGTTCTGTGACAGTTTCCCAGCCATTTACATAATCTCCCACCCAGCAGCAGCCTACTGGGGAGGGGAGGGAAGGAAGGAAGTTAGTTTTCTGTTTTTCTGTTCAGGTAAGGAAGGATAGATGAGGGAGGGAAGAAAGGAAGGAACAGGGAGGAAGGAACAGAAAGAAAGAAGGAAAAGGGAAGGAAAAAGGGAGGGAGGAAAGGAAAGAGGAAGGTGGGAAGGAAAGTGTCAGCACTTCAAGCTGCATTTACTTTAGTGCTGACATAAGAAGGAGAAGCGGAGGCGTCTGGAAAGGGACGTTTGACTTTTCACCTACTTATTTTCCCTGGAGATAATATCCCCTAGGAGATGGGAGGGGAGGGAGGAAATTCCTTTGAGCTGGAGCAGTAGATTAGGGGTAGAGTGACTTGGAAGATGGCCAATGAGTGCAGAGGAGTGGGGAAAGGAAAGGGAGGGTTTTGGGTCAGGAAGTCAGTGTTGGCTGCGATGGAGTCGGAGTTAGAATGTTGTGCTTAATAAATGGGAGTTTTTCATCAAAGACTTTGTTTGAAATGCAATTTATTTGAGACGACCTCGAAACCTGACAGAAGGAAAGAAAGAAAAGAATTTCCAGTGCTCATTGCCAGGTTCCCATGAGGAAAATAAATGAGGAAATCAACCAGAAATTTGAAGAGGCTGATCTAGTGTGCACCTAGTGTGTTCCTCAATGACTGTGGCATAGAGCCAGTTTGATTTAGTGGTTAAGGCTAGAAACCAGAGACAATGAGCTCTAGTCGCACCTTAGGCATGAAAGCCAGCTGGGTGACCCTGGGCCAGTCACTGTCTCTCAGCCAAACTCTCAGCTCACCTTAGGCAACAGGGTTGTTGTGGGCAAAATTGGAGGAGGAAGGAGTATTGCAGTAAGTATGTTCACTCCCTTGAGATATTTATAAAAATAATAAAGGCAGGATACAATTAAAACGTATAAAAATAGACATTTCTTGGGCAAATTGGTTTTTGCTGCATATCGGACATTAATACAATTGGGAGAGTCCAGAGATATTTCACGAGAAGAATCCTCCACTCCTCTGCTCGCAAAAGAATACCTTATGCCACCAGACTTGAAATTTTGGCCTTAGACAATTTAGAACTATGCTGCCTTCAGTCTGACCTATGCGTAGTGCATACAATTATCCGCTACAATGTCCTATCTGTCAATAACTACTTCAGCTTCAACCACAACAAGACACGAGCACATGATAGATACAAACTTAAGGAAACCGCTCCAAACTTGATTGCAGAAAATACCACTTCAGCAACAGAGTGGTCAATGCCTGGAATGCACTACCTGACTCTGTGGTTTCTTCCCCAAACCCCCAAAACTTTAACCTTAAACTGTCTACTATTGACCTCACCCCATTCCTAAGAGGTCTGTAAGGGACGTGCATAAGCACACCAACATGCCCACCATCCCTGTCCTAATGTCCCCTTTTATTTGTAACCATCTCATGTATTCATAATCATGTTTATACATTTCATGTATTCACAATCTGTAATCTTATATATGCTTGACAAAATAAATAAATAAATAAATAAATAAAATAGATAAACATTAACTCCCTTTTCATATTCACTCACTCACACAGAAGGGAGTCCAGTGCCCACAGAAATGTCACATGATACGGTTAATCTTGATAGAGAAGCAGATGCAAAGTAGGTTTATGGAGAACAATAAAGCGATATCAGCGTTTCTCGAAGGATCCCTTAAATGTGCCAGCCTCCCTTTTTGTTTATCCAAAGATTAGGCAGTTTGTTAGATTTGCAAAAGTACCAGCCAAATACGGAATGAAATGCATTTTTGCGGAGAGAGGAAAACCACCTCACCGAATGACTGTCAAGAGGTCCAGGTATGTTTCAGTCACCCTGTCAATTTGTTCTGTAGAAAAATACGCATCCTGCATAAAATCTCCTGCATTAGAGAAAATCCCATGTAGTGCAAAGAGATCACAGAGATTTTTGAGGATCCTCCAGATGGCAGATTCTTTTGCATGTTTCTCCAACTCTTCAGTAAATTTTTGTACCACAATGTAATGGCTATGAGCCTGAAAAAGTTAACAGAGAGAGTCATATCCCAGATCTTTATACCATAAAGTTGAACATATATTAAAAGTTTGTATGTCAAAAAATGGTTGGAAAGAGACCCATTGGAAAAGTTCTACTACACAGTAGGGCTTCCATTTCAATATCTTCAGTAGCTGCTCAAAGTGATTTCAGGAACTGGGATCAGAAAATTTGTCTGGAAAGATTTTCACCTATCTGGGAAGTACATCTGAAAGGCATGTTTCTCCAAACGGGTTAATGTTCCCTCATATTTGGTCAGTTTGAGGTTGGAGGTGGGTGTGTCTAGACAAATCCAGTGGTGGGATTCAGCCAGTTCACACCACTTCGGGAGAACCGGTTGTTATCTTTCTGAGCAGTTTGGCAAACTGGTTGTTGGAAGAAATCATTAGGGCAGAGAACCGGTTGTTAACTTACTTGAATCCCACCAGTGGACAAATCCCCATGTTTTTATTAGAAAGTCTCTTGAGCAGCATTAACCTAAGTAATCGTTTGTGTCCACCATTTTGAATTTACATTCACCTAACTCCTCAGAGAAAATATAACAGATCCAAATGCATGGCCTGAGAAATTACTACAAAAAAGGAAAGTCAACAGAAAAGTTAAGAAAGAACAAATTGGTGGACCATGCAGGAAACAGATGACCCAACACTGCTTATTTTAAGGTAGGACTCTGTTCTTCTAACACACACATATACACACCAAATTAGACAATTGTTATAAGTCACGATTCACAGTCTGCCTTTGACCTAGAATATGACAATGCTACTCCAGCTGAGCCTGTGCTTCAGGATTGTCAGCTTCAGAAATTAGTAAATCAGGATTCAGTGGAAGCTGATCAGTTGCAAGCATCTCCTGTTCAGCTGGAGCAGTCAGATGACAAGGCACAACCCCAGAACTCAGATTTAGCCGCATATGGAAGCAAGCAGAACTATGTTCTTCAAGGAGGCTTCTTGCTAAACAAGAGCAAGGTATGAGTAAAAGCAGCCAGCTGGCTCCAGATAGATTTTGTTAGCTTGTGTGCTTTTAGTCCTTGTTGGAAACAAACATTTCAGCTACCCAGCTCTTGAATCATGTTCCTGCTTCATGTTTGTGCCTCTAGACCCATGATGGCGAACCTATGGCATGCGTGCCACCTGTGCAAGCATTGCCCTAGCTCAGCTCCAGTGGGAGGGCATCTGGGGGCAGGGGAAAGGCCTATTTTTCGCTCTCTCCAAGCTCCAGAGGCTTTCTAGGAGACTGGGGAGGGCAAAAACAACCTTCCCCACCCCCGGAGGCCCCCCGGAGGCTGGAAATGGCCCATTTGCTGACTTCCAGTGGGACTGGAAGGCCTGTTTTTCGCTCTCCCCAGGCTCCAGAGGCTTTTTGGGCTCCAGAGGCTTTCCTCCCACCCCCAGAGGCCCTCTGGAGGCTGGAAATGGCACGCTTCCTGACTTCCGGTCCCACCCCCCACAAGAAAGCCTCTGGAGCCTGGGGAGGATAAAAACCGGATCTACCAGGCCCCCTGTGCCATTGTGTGCCAAAAGCAGGCAGAGCAGGGGGGAGTCGCACGCGCATGAGTGGGGGAGTGGGGCGCATTGAATTATGGGTGTGGGCACATGCACGCGTGATCCCCCCCACGCTCCCCACGCTTTTGGCACGTGACAGCAAAAAGGTTAGCCATCACTGCTCTAGATGAAACTTGAATTAGGAAATGCTAGATGTATTTTTTAAAAAATATATGGGAATGCTAGTGATAGGATGAAGAGTAGAACTGAAGCAAATGTTATAAGTCCAAAGCCTACTAACTGCATGAAACCTGACTCGACTAATATATATCTAATTTTGGATGACATATTTTGGGTGAAAAATTAATTTTAAAAGTTTCTTTTTAAAATAGGGAGAAGACATGGCAGATTAGAAAAAAGAACGGGCACACCTTGAAGCTTAAAGCTTAAAAAGTCAATGCCATCTTTCCCTTCCATTCTTCCTACACGAAAGCTGGCTTTGCAAAGTGTGAAGGGCCTTATTTTCCTTGGCTTTGTTGCCTGAGCCTAATTTAATTTAATTGGTTGATTCTCGGTTCCTGGCAAAATAACTGATCAGGGAAAAGCACAACATAGTTACCAACCATCGCAGCTCTTGCTAGTTGCACAGTGCACTGGTTCCAGGCTTCGTACTGTGTTTTCCCTGCCTGAACCAACTGCTGAAGCTTCATTGCTGCATTTCTTGTAAACCTGAGAAGAGAAGAATGCGAACAAATATTAACATGTCAAAATGTTCAACGAATTTAAAAATTGATTACCTCATTTCTAAAAAATACTCTTAATTGCAGAAGATGAGGACTGATCTACCGATGCAGTGACCCGGGAGGGTGGAATTCTGGAATGAAGAATTGTGAACAAAAGAGTTTTCTGAACACGGTGATATATAAAATAACCCTCACTGCAATTCAAAAACAATTCAATACACCAACAAAAGACCATGTTGCAACTTTACAATTTTCCCATTATGCTACATGGGAATCTCAGGTTCTGCTTGATGTTTATAAAATAGTTACATTTCAATATGGATTGTTTTTCTGTACCATCGGTGTAAAGATCTGACTATGTGAGTATTTGGTCCAAATATTAATTAGTGGAGGTGATTATGATGCTATGGGTAAACTATATCAGTTGAGGTGTTTCATCAGCAGTCCTGAAGACAAAGTCATGAGATCTAAAAATATTTTATCCAGTGGCCTTCCCAGAAAGCAAGTTCAATAGAATCCTCTTCCAACCAATTATTTATGAATGAGACAGGGGCATCCTTTTGAAAATAGAAGCTGCTAGAGACAGGAGACGAAATTGACTATAAACAGTCCTGCTAACAAATCTGGAGCCTTTGATTCTGTTTACTTGGCTGGGAAAGCAGGCCTGCATAGATTCTGTTTTCTAAAAGTATCATCTCCATCTCCTCCTCCTCCTCCTCTCCTCCTCCTCCCGTCCACTTCTTTCTCCCTGGTGTACTATCCCTGTCCCTGTCCCTCATCCCATCTCTATTTTATTTTCATTTTTGCACTTTTATTAGAAGGAGAGAGGAAACCACATGCATGGGCCATGAGAATATGTGTGCATTCTTGTTTATGAGGTAAAGTGATGAGTGATGCAGTAAATCATTTAATTTTATAAAGGGGGATCTTAATTTACAAGGAGTTCATTTTAGTCAGTAGTTAACATTTGACTTTAATGGGGCAGTGGACAGAAGCATGCACACAATATCTTCAGTATGGTTTCAGCTGCAATTGGCATCCTTAAATGGACAAGGTAGGAAACTGAATTTTACACAAGATTTCTATTTTTGATTCCACCCCCACCAGTTTATTCTTCCTTTGGAGATGAAGAATCATCTTCCTTGGGTAAGTATAGTACTGAATGAGAGGTTTTTTTAAAAAAATGATGATGCACTATTAGTTGATGTCAATTCTTAGTGACAACACAGATTTTCTCCTGTTATTATATTAATATTACCAATTTGTTTAATCTTTAGGAGTTAGGGGAACCAACTGAAGAACGTATGAGTTCGGGAAGAAGCTTATATTAATAGAATAGAATAGAATTCTTTATTGGCCAAGTGTAATGGGACACACAAGGAATTTGTCTTTGGTACATGTGCTCTCAGTGTACATAAAAAGACAAGATAAATTTGTCAAGAATCATAAGGCAAAACACTTAGTGATAGTCTAATAGTAATAGTAATGCAGCCTTAGTGAATAGTTTGACAGTGTTGAGGGAATTATTTGTTTAGCAGAGTGATGGCATTCGGGAAAAAACTGTTCTTGTGTCTAGTTGTCTTGGTGTGCAGTGCTCTATAGCGTTGTTTTGAGGGTAGGAATTGAAACAATTTATGTCCAGAATGCGAGGGGGTCTGTAAATATTCTGCCTCATCTTTAATTTTCTCTGATCTTTTACTATCCAACCTTTGGATTGGCATGTAATACATGTACCTGCAATATTCATTTACTGACTGAAGTTACAACAGTGCTTTAAAAAAGTGTCTTATAACTGGGTCCTTGCATTGAACAAGCATCACAGCATCCCTAAGATCATGTGATCAAAATTCAGGCGCTTGTGACCTGGAATGTATTTACAACAGCTGCAGCATTACAAGTGCATAACAGCTGCATCATTTGTGACCTTCCCAGATGGCTTCTGACAAGTAAAGTCAACAGGGGGAGCCAAATTTGCTTAATGACTGCATGATTCACTTAACAACTGCAATGACTTGCTTAAGGACTGTGTTAAAAAAAGTCATAAAATCAGGTGGAATTCACTTAGCAATGGAAATTCTGATCTCAGTTGTGGTTGGAAGTCAAAGACTACCTGTATATATCAAACTCTATCCCAGTTTCTTTATACCAACCTGAGGGCTCGATGCTTATAGGCATCTGTGTAAATATCAGGATTTAAGAAATCCATTTTTTCCTGGGCTTGACATTTTCCAAAATTCACTGAAGAAAAGTAGGCAACTGATGAAGGAAGTGGCTGGCCCATTTGTGCCATTCCATAGCATTTTATAAGAAATCTACAAAATAAAGAAGAAAAATGAAAACCAAGACACACCCTAAGACGTGTTGAATGATGACAATTATTTTCAGAGATAAACAATAGGGATGCAAAAAAAAGATAACTTTTGGACATCAGAATACAGAAAATATCTTTACTATGTAGGTAATCTGTGCTCACATTATTTGCCCTGTTTCCTTATGAATGAATGCTACACCACTATATTTCCTTAATTCCTTAGTTCAGCCCTGTCCCTTTAAAGATAACCACCACAATAAAAAAAGAAAGAAAAAAGTATTCTTTTCTGGAACCTGGGAGAGACACTCAGTCCAGCCAATTTTTTTCCCTTTCTCACAAAAGCTGTAATTTAAGTATTCTTGCAGCTTTGACCCCTAAGAAGTTGGAATGTTCTTGGATATTCTGTTCCATAAGATTTCTGGAGCCAATGAGCAGTAATAGCTCCACATCTTTAAGTACAGAAATATACACACATAGAAGTAAGAAGGCAAATGTGAAAGTTCTCCCTGCAGCATTTCCCTGCAGGAACTCCTTTCATAATATGCAAGTGCTGGAAAATCAAATACCTGGACTGCTAGAGACCACTCACTTTATAAACAAGCTGCAGAAGTGCTTGTAAAAGGTATTCTGGAAAAGCTTCTGAAATCAATAGAAATAGAAATAATAGGACTAGGACTAGGACTAGGACTAGGACTAGGACTAGGACTAAGAATAGAATAGAATAGAATAGAATAGAATAGAATAGAATAGAATAGAATAATTGGAAGGGACCTTGGAGATCTTCTAGTCCAACCCCCTGATCAAGTAGGAAATCCTATACCAACTATTTCAGACAAATAGTTGTCCAATCTCTTCTTTAAAACTTCCAGTGTTGGAGCATTCACAACTTCTGGAGGCAACTTGTTCCACTGATTAATTGTTCTAAGAGTCAGAAAATTTCTTCTTAGTTCTAGGTTGCTTAGTTCTAGGATGTTTCTAGCAAGGCTTCAGAGATGAAAGGTAACATTTTTTTCACTGAAGTTACCTGGCTGTTTGCAGCAGGAGAACAGTATTTTCTCCCTCATAAGTACATGACGGGACCACTTTCGTATAAATGGAAGGCAGGCCACTGAGAAGAGAGTAGCCATGTCCCCCGCAAGCCCTTCGACACACCTCCACTCCAGCTGTGCAATAATCGGTAGTGATCACTTTTATGCCTGCTGCCAGGGCGTGAAGCTGCAAAATGGCAGAAATTAAAATGGTAAGATAGATCTGGTTTGAGATAGTGGTGAATTGTACTTGGGCACAAAGCCAGCTGGCTGACCTTGGGCCAGTCCCTCTCTCTCAGTTTAAGGAGGAGGCAATGGCAAACCACTTCCAAAATCTTGCCAAGAAAACTGCAGGGACTTGCCCATGAAGTTGCCAGGAGGAAACACTGACTCAAAGACATTTTTTAAAAAATTAAATTACCGTATTTTTCGGAGTATAAGGCGCATCTTTCCACCCCCCCACTGGCCCCCACCCTTTGGCCTCTGCCTCCCAGCAGTTTACTTCCTTGCAGCAAGCAGCAAGAAGAAACAGCTCATTTCAGCTTCAGCACAGCCTAATTAGCACAGGTTGATTGGATCGGCCTCCCGACTCTCAGCTGTTTTGGTCTCAGCTGTTTTGCTCCGGCCTCTGCTGCTTGCTGCAAGGAGGTAAATTTCTGGGAGCAGATTTTTTTTTTTCTTGTGCTAATCAAGCTATGCTAAAAATGAAAATGAAAGTAAAGCAGGCTGTTTGCTGTTCGCTGCAATGAGGCAAAATTGCTGGGAGGCAGAAGCAGAGGCAGATTTCTTTTTTTTTTGTTTTGTTTTCCTCATCAAAAAAGGTAGGTGTGTCTTATAGTCCGGAACGTTTTATACTTTGAAAAATATGGTAAATTATTTTTTTTTTAAAAAGGTATATAACTCCAATACTTCCATAGAGAATATGAAAAATAAATGAATAAGCAAGCACACTTTCTTTCTTCTCATGTACATTCATGAATTTACATCTATTGCTACTTTATATTCACAGCTCATATGGTAGATTCAGACCAGGGATTTGGGGAAGGGAACAAGTGCAGTATAAATAAGTAAAACTTCTTTAGGTTAGTCTTCTCTAGCCTTCAAAAGTCTTGCAACAGCAAGTCTGAGAACCTCCTATTGGAATGACCCTCACATCTGAAGGACATCAGCTTGGAAAAGATTTTATTTGCTCAAAGGTAGGCAAGAAATGCTTACCAGTGGTTGGATCAAGTCCCACTGATTCATACTGGAGAGAGTTAAGCACACCCTTAAAACTCTCTTTACCTTCTTAAATCAATATTTCATCTATTAAAAAAGCATTACTGCTATTAATAATAGCATCCATACTGGACAACAGATTTAAAAGCTCTTAACATTACTTGGACCATGTCCGAAGTCTTTGTTTTGTGGTTGTAAAACAAGCCAATGCACAAATATCTCTTGAAACCACAACTGTCCATTGAACCAAAGTCTTCTGTTTCAAACAAGGAAAAAGCTCCAATCACATTCCTCCTGAAATAATCCCTTTGGATTGCTTTTAAAAATCATTTTATTAGTGAAGTACAGAAAACAATAAAAAATGACATTTCAATTAAAAAATCTAAATCAATGCTGCTCAAACTTGGCAACTTTAAGATGTATGGATTTCAACTCCCAGAATTTCCCAGTCACATCTTAAAGTTGCCAAGTTTGAGAAACACTGTTCTAGATATTACAATGATGACATGTATATACTAAATGAAAAAGAAACCAAACAACAGAAAAAAGGGATCCATGAGCCACAGTGGTGCAGTGGTTAGAGTGCAGTACTGCAGGCTACTTCTGCTGCCTGCCGGCTGCCTGCAATTTGGCAGTTCAAATCTCACCAGGCTCAAGGTTGACTCGGCCTTCCATCCTTCTGAGGTGGGTAAAATGAGGACCCAGATTGTTGGGGGCAATATGCTGACTGTACACTGCTTAGAGGGGGCTGTAAAGCACTGTAAAGTGGTATATAAGTCTAAGTGCTATACAATAATAATGAAACAAAATTAAGTTAATGCCTAAGCTTGTTAAATGTAGTCCACATTGAAACATATTGTTCCATCTTTTCATTTTTAGATATAATGACATCTTTAAAATCTATAAAGAACACATACCTTGAACCTACAGGAATTGCTACCAGAGTATGAGTACAGTGCCTGCATAAGAGTTTGAAGTATATGGGGTATTTCTATTTTATACTGTATTTTAATATTTTAAGCATCCTTATTTGGATTCTCAAGACATAGGACATAGCTCAAACTCCAATTCAACAGCCACTGACTTGTGAGTAATTTTTTTACTGAAGACCATGAGATATTTTTTCTGAGTGGATATGGAGTGGATACTGAAGAGCAATTTTGCTGACTGATGAAATGGGCCAACAGTTTTCTAAATGCATGAGAAGATGCTATATGTCTCTTTCACATTACCTCTGGAAGCAAGTCAAATTTTCCTTCTTTGGTCTGATTGTAGCATTTCTGGAAAGTGTCCTGCAGATAGTCGCAAATAAAATGAAAGGCATAGGCAGTGGCCAGCTGAGGAAAAAGCTTCTGCTGCTGGGTCTGATAGTCTAAAATCTTAGCCTCTGGATCACTGAGGAAAGGGAATATTGAGGGTTAACCACGATGAACGGAAACTTTGCCCACATATCTTCAAATTATCTTCACAACAGAAGGAGCTTTCTACTTTCACTTGATTACACTGTTGGCCTCCATTAGCAAAGTTAGTGCAAACCACAAAATCTCAGCTTCTTTTCCCTCTTTTTCACAATAGGAAAATGGAAAGATCGGTCAGTTCAGTTACAGTGAAATTACAGTTCTTTATTTCATCTGCAGATTAGCATGAGACATGCTGGCCATGGGGGATACAGTTTGGATTTGCCTCATCCCAGATAGCCAGTTTGGTGTACTGGTTAAGGCAGGGGAGTCAAACTCAAGGCCCATGGGCCGGATTTGCCCACTGGGTGCTTAGATCTGGCCTGTGGGGCCAGCCTGGAAATAGCAAAGGACTGGCCTGGGGTGCCTCTACTAGTGAAAATGGGGCATGGGGGGGTGTCCTGTTTTCACCCTGGACAGCCTTCTGCAGCACTCTGCCAATAAAAATGAGGTGCAGGGGGCTGTCTGTGCCCTGCATCCCCTGTTTTGGCCAGCAGATTGCTGCAGGAGGCATCCATCCTATCTGCTGTCTGTCCGTCCCCCCCCCCGCCCCGCCAGCAGGACAACTACAATGCTGATCCCGCCCTTGGAGAAATCCAGTTTGACACCCCTGGGTTAAGGCACCAGACTAGAAACCAGGAGACCATGAGTTCTAGTTCCTAGGCATGCAAAGCTAGCTGGAAGAGCAGTCATTCCCTCCAGGCCTATCAAACTGGCAGCCAGCAGGCCGGATGCACCCACCCTAGCTCTGGAAAGGGAAAAAATGTTTCAATACGTCCATCATGTGACGCGATCAAATTTGACACCCATGCTCTATTCCAACTCACCTCCCAGTGTTGTTGTGGGGAAAAAATAGGAGGAGAAAGAAGTATTAATATGTTCACCGCCTCAAATTATTGATCAATATAATAAAGGCAGGATATAAAAAAATACATCCTTTATCTTCCCAAGAACTGTCTACTGCCAAGTTTAGGTAATGTCTGTTTTAATATTTAATCATCCAGTAACAGCTTTTGTGGAGTAAATCTCTTCTTAAGGACCAGATTCTTTATCAGCCATAACTGATCTATGAGGAATTGCTGTTGCAATACGAACATTTAGGTAGTAAATAACTTAATTCCAGATCTAAAACAAGATATGATGACTACATCATTTTAATGCATCTAACCATAATTTTTCTTGTCAGATTTTTGGCAAATATATATAAGCATATAAATACAAAGTAAGAGTAAGAGCTGGGAAAACACATTTTTACCTAACTCCCTAGAAACAGAAATAGCAAATTGAGGTCCAGCATAGTCAAATCCGAACCATAGCAGGATATGCTACAAAGGGCATTAATAATAAGATAAAGCAGCCTTTTATCAGTAGATTCTCCAATTTCTACCATAACATAAAAGCAATAAAATCAAATGTTGCATTCAATTCCACGAAGGCTGCAAAAAACAAAAAACAAAACCAGCCCTTTAAGGCTTGTTAGTATTTTTTATGAATTGTAATAATATAAACAATGGTTTAGGATTGACCAATTTTCTCCAAATGCTGCCTAAGGGTCAGTGAATACATCTCTTTCTAAGAAAAAAATTGAAGCTATTATTCTCATGATTGACAGTAAATTGTATTTATATTTTCCTGGCTCATTGGCTTTGACCTGTTTAAAAATAAAAATGACTGCTTTGTTTCAATCAGAAAGAATCATATCAAAAATTACTTCCTGGAAGTACATAAATCAACAACAAAACCCACCAATGTTGATTGAATTGAATTAAATAAATTATCAATGCCAGGTGACTTCCTAGATTTATGCTAATATATTGTGGAAAACATTTCTTTGGTAGCAACATGGATCAAAGTTGGGAGAGTTGAGCTGTGACTATGACATCCATGGGAAAATCACATTGTATGGCATTTGGAATCCCCCCTAATATTTCTAAAACAATTTTCTCATGCTTGAGCAGAAGCATAATGCTTCTATAACAATTCTAGGCAATAGAGTTCAGAATAAGTGCTGAAAATTGTAGTTTAGCAACATACAGAACAGTACCAATTTCTTATCCCTGCCCAAAATTGAAAACAATATTGTAAAAAGAGATTAGCATTATGTGTGCATGTGTAACTATGGGAAATTAAGCATTCAGACAGAAGCATTTCTCTCTTTTCATATCATACCCTGGTTTTAACTCAGATTGCCGACGCACCACCGAATATCGGATAGCAATAGTACAAGCCTTCATCAGACAGGGAATAACTGAACTCCGAAGTATGTTCACACGAATCACAATCATAGTAAAATAGTTGATTTTCTCAGATCCTTGCTTCTTATATTGACCATCTGGTAGAACCTGGAAGATCAGATTTAAAGACAAAGGTATTGGAGAACAGAGCTGATGGGCATGAAGAAAAAAATAATTTTCAGAATTTATTCTTAAATCCTGCATATTTTGTGAGTATGAGAAAGAAAGTGCAACATTGCCAGTGAATTTATTTATTTATTTAGCATATGGTTGGTCACACACAATATTAAAACACTTCATTTTTACAGGTTAAAAACAATTAAAACAATAAAAAAGCAGTAAGAAAACCTAAAAGGAAAATAGAAATAACATTTCAAAGTTTAATGTCGAGTTTGGAGATCCAATCAGTAGCTGCCGTTGTTATGCAGAGGAAGTCCCTAGAATCTCCTGGATACCTTCTGTTAGGGCATTCCCTCGCTATATGCTGGATAGTCTGTTGAGGGCCCCCGCAATCACATTGTGCTGAAGGTATCTTTCCCCATTTATACAGGGAGTCAGCACACACCCCATGAGTTGTTCTAATTCTATTATATGTCACCCATATGTGTCGGGGTAGGCTAAATCCTGGAGGTATACTACTAGGACTGATATGCTCGGAGACATTTTGGGGGGAACAGCTATTCCACGCCTCCATCCACTTTTGTGTGGTGTTCTGATGATCGGCCATCAATTTACACGCTGTCAAGATTGGTGGATTTCTTGACTTTAATCGGCATCTTAAGAGATCAGGAATGTATCCATGTATGGGTATATAAGGAGGCAAAGTTACTTGTGTCCGTGGCAATCCTTAAGGATTGCCTCCTGGGTGGTGCTAAATGAGTAACAGACGGACTGGTAGCCAGACATCCGCGAGGATCTCCTGGCTTCACACACAACCCCATGGTCCTTTTAAGGACCTTTTAAGTTCCAAAAAACTAGCAGAAACAGCAGAAATAACAGAAATTGCCAGTGAAGACTGTGGCTGAGAAGCAAATACAGGCCAATTTTGTTTCTTCATCCTATATGAAAATTATGGGTGAACTGTGGTATATTTAATGTGAACCAAAGTGTACTTCAGCTAAAGAGTAACACGCACCCCCCACCAATGTCTATGGAGATTCTCAACTATCCAAGACACGCTTTCCCAAAGGTGCTTTTTCCAAAGGCAACTAGACTTAATTTTTCCTTCAAGACATTTTGCTTTGCATCCAAGAAGCTTCTGGAGAAACAAAGTCCAGTTGCTTTTGGAAAAAGCACCTTTGGGACACTCCCCCCAACATAACACTAAAAAGGAAAATCCATTACAAAAGCTGAACGATTTGAGTGTTCCTTTTTAAATTTATGTTTAAAAGGAAAATCAAAACTAGTTCTTCCACAAAATATTTTTGGGCTGACAAATGCTGTCTAGATTGACTGTGGTATGTTTAGTTGATGATTGGCTCCAGAAAGAATTGGAGAAAATAACAAAATTTATTTATTTATTATTTATTAGTTTGATTTATATGCCGCCCTTCTCTGGAGACTCAGGGCGGCTTACAATGCTTTAAGCAATAGCCTTCATACTTTTGTATATACCTGCTTAGTATTGAACTCGCAGTAATTGCAGGCAGCTGGCAGCTAAGTACTACTTTAACAGCAGTTTTTAGTCCGCTGCGCCACCAAGGCTCTTAATGCAAAGACTTGTAAGTAGAAGTAGAATGACTGTGGCAAGAGAAAGCAAAGATAGTATCAACAATAATAGGCGCCTTGGGTGGAAATCCCAAAAACCTCTGGAGCACTATTTGAATACTTTCGTCATTGACAAAATCACCACCAGTCAATTGCAAAAGGTAGCTTTGCTGGGAACTGCTTACTCCTGAAACAATGCCTTTAACACTATCAAACAACAACATGCCTTGCCCAGGTCCTTGGGAAGGACTCGATAGGTAAATAAAGATGCCAAATTTAATCCAAACATCTGGCTGACTGTGCAAACAACAATACTAGTAGTAATAGTAGGTAGGATCCCCAGGGTTCAACTTTTTACATTTCAACCTTCTATAGCCCTGGCTACTACAATTTCAAATAGTGCAGTAGAATGGAGTAGTGTGGAGAGGGGAGGGGAGGGAAAGAGAGGAGATGGGAGGGGAGGGGAGGGGAGGGGAGGGGAGAGGGGAGGGGAGTTAGAACAATTAATAAATGGAACAACTTGCCTCCAGAAGTTGTAAATGCTCCAACACTGGAAGTTTTAAAGAAGAGATTAGATAACCACTTGTGTGAAGTGGTGTAGGGTTTCCTGCCTAAGCAGGGGGTTTAACTAGAAGATCTCCAAGGTCCCTTCCAATGTTGTTAAATTATAAATTAAAGAGCGGAGGAGAGGAGAGGGAGAGAGAGAGGAGAGGAGAGGAGAGGAGAGAGGAAAATTTACTAAAATTCTGACAAAATTCTGAACCAGGTGTCAGAATTCTATGCCCTTTGATACTCTGAAACTGATTGGAATACATGAAAATTATTTATCTATACCTGAGAGAATTTGGCCAGCATGTTTTCTCTTGGAACACGGACATTCTTCAGGATGAGGAAGCCATTGTCAATATTCTCAAAGCCCATTTTGGGACCTATATCCCCTACAGTTATTCCTGAGGAATAATAATAATAATAATAAAAAAGAGCAGTGAGTAACATGATTTCATAAAATGGAAATCTTCCATTGCACACTGGGGATACAAAACAAATCTGTTAAAAGAAATGCAAAAGGAGGAAAGTATTGGAAGGATTTGCAGGGGAAATCCTTAAAACCACCACTGGAAAAGTTGAATAGGAAGCTAGGTGGTTTGGAGAGAGAGAGAAAAAAAAATTGAAATAAGCTTCCTTCTCTTCAAAGATTGAATAAGCTTCAAAGATTGAATCTTTGAAATTGCTAGAAACATGGTAGGATGTACCTCTTCATTTAAATATCCAAGGTGGGATGAATTACACTTTAGACAGTGGTGGGATTCGGCCAGTTCGCACCACTTCAGGAGAACCGGTTGTTAACTTTCTGAGCAGTTTGGCAAACTGGTTGTTGGAAGAAATCATTAGGGCAGAGAACTGGTTGTTAAATTACTTGAATCCCACCACTGACTTTAGGATAATAAAGGAATTAATCAATGGTTTGGCCAAACCCATGAATAATCCAGGAGAAATGATGAAGTTAGGGTGCAAGATGTCTGAAGGATAGCCCATCTTGAGTCTGTCTTCAGAAAAGGGAAAAACAAAGACCTAGGAAATTACAGACTAGTCTTACATTGTTATCTAGGAAGTTTCTAGAACAGGGCTGTCAAACTTGCGGCCTCCAGGCCAGATGCACGCCCACACCCAGTTTAGTGAAGGGGGAAAAGGTCAGGATACGTCACATGACACCGCCATGACATGAGTTTGACACCCCTGTTCTAGAGAGATCAAAAATGAATTTAGCATTCTTTGGTTAAGGGTCCTCCTCCTCCTCCTCCTCCTCCTCCTCCTCCTCCTCCTCCTCCTCCTCCTCCTCCTCCTCCTCCTCCTCCTCCTCCTCCTCTTCTCCTTCTCCTTCTCCTTCTCCTTCTCCTTCTCCTTCTCCTTCTCCTTCTTCTTCTTCTATCTGGGAGAATGGAAAGACTCCTGCCTTACTCTTCCCAAGAGCTTCATAAAAACATCACCTTGACCTGGAGAATGGTCTCTGAGGCTGCGGATTTGTACAATGAATGGATGCATGCCATAACAACGTCCTTTCAGATAAAGTTGAGCAAAAACCACAGCATGAGTTGCAGTTCGGCCCACTGCAAGAAGATGGGAAGAAAAGAAGTTATCATTTGGTTAAAAATAATGGACCAGAATATCCCAGGTCTTACTATATAATGTCACTAAGTATTCAATTTAATTGTTAAAATCATCATAAAGAAGACAAGACCCAAACACTTGAAATTGACTTGAAAAGTTCACTGCTTGGTCCTCACTGATTTTGGAATATTTTCAACGAACAATGATTCTATCAAGAAAGTTTTAGCCTTCACATTAATAAAGGCTGCAGGTAAACAAAATGTCAGGTCCCATAGCTTCCTATAGGGATGCTGTCATTCTGATGGGACGGGGAGGCTTGAGTGGGGGATCTCTGTATGAAGTTTCTGTTTCTATTCCTTGCTTTGCCTGGCTGTAACTTTAGGAACCTTGGGAGAGGGGGAAAGGAATGTGCTTCGAGCCATCTGCCTTATATTGTCTCTGGAAGAGAGTGGCAGCGTTGCCTTGGAAACTGGTGTTTATCACCTTCTCGGCCTGAGTTTTTCATAACATCTTCACACCTCGGGATCGGCTCGATGATGGACTGGACTTTGGAATAATAATAATAATAATAATAATAATAATAATAATAATAATAATAATAATAATAATAATAATAATAATAATGATTTATTGTCATTGTACGTGTATACACAGTATACCCATACAACAAAATTCACTTAACACCCAAAGACCAGGTCCAACTCACATAACAATCTCCAAACACACTCCCACACACCACAATTCCCTACCCCTAAACCACCTAAACATCCACACAACAGACCAAGGGGCTCTGTTTGCAATGGTTTAACCTACAGTTTGAGCGGGAAAACCTTAGTTCCTGCCTACACCTTCTTGCTATCACTATCTTCCAATAGAAGTTCCTTTTGAAGTGGCTTTCATTTCAAGAGTTCTGCTTTCTTGAGAAGACTGGTGAGGCAGGACCTTACCCAAAAGAAGAAATGAATCTAGCAATTCCTTCCATTTAGTTCCAATTCACCATCATGCTTGGTACTTACGGTCTCCTGGCCACCATTTCATGGCAGAGAAGGTTGGCGTGTTTATGATAAACTCCTGAGTGGCCACATCAAATGTGGCTGTGGTCTCCAAGCCTCGAAGATTAGATCCTTTGCAACAAAAAGATAAAAGAGACAATTTTATGCATACCCGACAACTAGCAGCAGATTTCTAACTATTTCCAAAAGTGCTTTTTCAAAGTCCAGTTGAACTTTGAAAAAGCACTTTTGGGACAACCATGACCTAGATGACTGAGAATCTCCATAGACATTTGCTAGCAAGATTTGCTAGCAATCCTAGATTGTCTTTTCTCAGGAATGAAATTTGCGCAAAGTTTCTCTTGTGAGCAAATTCCAACCATGCAAAGATCTCAATTAAAAGTAAGGTTGTAATATTTTAATATTTCCTAACATGATTTTGGGAGTAGAGCTTGGTATAAGAACTCATTGAATGACAATCTCATTTTGTCTGGACTTCTAGGTCAATTCTTAAAACACATACACACGCACACCAATAAATATGAGGTTTCTAAAACATTTATACAAAATCATAAAATCACTGTCTGGTTGAATTTGTCTAACAATTTACTATGACTAATTTTTCCATCCTTCAGAGATCACAGCTTTGACCTAAAGATCAACTTGAACCTTTGTGGCAAAATTAGCATAATTCTGCACCTATTCTCTAGTTATAGGCTGGAAGGCTGGGTGCCTATCCAGGTGAACTTATTATAAGGCCCCAAATTACTTAGGGACCAGGCACAATAGGTAGTTGGAGAAAGGACTCTGCTCTCATTTCTGTTGACAGACACTGCCTCATACTGCTCAGTGATTGTAAAGGACAACTGAACGGAAGGACTTTGTACTAAAAGTTAATTAAGCAAGAGGTCTGCTCAGGCAGAATCCAGAACGTAGAACTACTTTATATACTAGACTTTGTATTGTTTTGGTTTGGTCAATTGCTAGGCCTCTTTACCTAAGCATTAGGTTATTCTCAAGTGCTTGTAGCCAACTGCCTGGAAGACATGGAGGTTAAGAATATTTATTTCTTTAGCATTGGGTTATTCTCAAATGCTTATAGCCAACGGGATACAAGACATGGAGATTATGAATATTTATTTCTTTAGGGTTAGGGTTAGGGTTACATTCTATTTGTATAATTATTTTTCTGAACACAATTTGCATTGCAATTGATTGTGAAGAATGATGATGACGGGATACTATTTGACAAGGGAAGTGGCCATACAACAATGGAGAAAATAATAAATGAAAAGCAATGAACAATGTTCATGTTAACAAGAGCTTCTGCAAATTAAAAATATAACCACTAACAATAACCAATTAAAAACAGTCATATTAACAAGAGCTTCTCTAAAAAAACCACACACCCTCAAAGGCAGATTTGATGGACCACTCGGTCTTTTTCTGCTGTCAGTTTTCTATGTTTCTATATTTAAATCTGTATAATAAGTGGTAAAAACAAGGTTCAAAAATCAGATTGAAAGATTTCTGTAGCTACTGAAGGTAAATCAAGAGGTAACATTCTACTAACAGTCATGCTATGACAGGTTTTACTATTGCTCTTGTTAGCTATTACTCCCACACAAAGGGTGAAATTGTTTAATCAGTTAAGGAAGCATAAATACATTTCTGCTTCATTTAAAACAACAACAACAAAAGTGCACGGAGCCAGATTTATGCACCTATACTGTCTGCTGTATAACATTTAAATAATAATATAAACATCTGGGGCAAAATTTGCTGTGAAGATTATGTAGCAGAAATGTGATATCACAAGCACTAACCAGTAGGCCATGGATGTCAAACTTGTGTCGTCACGGCATCGTCACATGACGTAATCGTGACTTTTTCCCACTTCACTAAACTGGGTGTAGGCATAGCCAGTGTGTGACACATCTGGCCCAAGGGCCGCGAGTTTGACAGCTCTGCAATAGGCCATCTCGAGAAACAGATTTACCTTGACAAATGGAACTACTGCATGGTGAAAATATGCTATAAAAACAGGTTTTATAGCATACTGCAAATCAGGAATGAAGGAAATGTAATGGAGATGATGGGGTGAAATTGTTGCTATTGTTCTTAAAAGTTACTCAGCCCCAAAGAAATGGATCCCAGTTCCAGGTCCATCGTTAAAACTTTCAGTAAAACCTTGGTAACATTAAGATGTGTGGATTTCAACTCCCAACCTTGCTGGCTGGGGAATTCTGGGGTTGAACTCTATATATTTTAAAGTTGCCACCATTGAGCAAACCTGATAAAATCATTTCTTTGGCTGCTACTCTCCTACTTTCCATTTCAGAATCACTAAGCGTTATGCTTAGAGCCTTCTGCACAAAATTTCAGTAAGCAACTTGGATATTAGAGCACTTGATTTGCATTTAGGCCATCCTCTTAATCCAACCTCATTGTGTATGTGAAAACAAGAGAAAGCACTCAGCTGATGATGCCACAAAATGGAGCAATTTCTCCTCTCTCTTGCTGTTCAGTAGGACCCAACAAAAGTCCTACTGAAAAAAAAAATATCCAGCTTCTTTCAGTCTTCCTGGGTGTTGAGTGAAGGGTGTGTGGGTGTGGGTGTTGCAAATTAGTTCATATCAAATAATGGCACTTAATAATCTTTGACATAGAGTTTATGAAATCAGAGATCTGGATCACGATGCCAGCCAATGGTGCTTACCATGTCCCAATTCAGTTTGGGCATAGGTCCCTATGATGAAAATCTTGTTTGCTAAGGGAATCCATTTGCTGATCTGTTCATCGGTGCCTAAAGCCAAAATGCTCTTCATAAAGACTACGTGTATGTTAAATGCCAAATCGTCACTAAGAAACCTGCAAAAACACAGATTCCATTATGTCCCCCAACAGTGACACACAAACACGTATTCAATATACAATTCATTAGTAGACAGTGAGAAGGCTAGAAATTTAAAATTTCAGTGGAGCAACTTTGTTTAGCCTCCATAAGTGAGATCTATTTCTAGATGTTGTTTTCTCCTTTCAAAAAATCATAACCATTTGATAAATCTTGCTAACCCTTTTCGAAAGCCGCATTTGCCTCTCTCATTATCTCTGCGCACAGCCTCCAAGAAAATACTCAGAGCAGAAAGCAAAATTAATTTCTAATTGCTTCCAGTAATACAATTAGTTTTACATTGCAATCCTAGGCATGTAAGCTCTACTGCTTTCAGTAAGTCATGTGGCTTGTAACATGTGGTTACAATTGCACATCTCCAAATCTGTTAAGGAATACAATGTGTTTCTGACCCCACTGATTTACAAAAAAATATATACTACCGAATTAAAATTACTTAAAGCAGAGGTTCTGTTCCGGGCCATCTACAGTCCATCCCATTTTAGCCATCTTTTGCGAGAGGTAAACAGTTTTTCTGACTGCACTTTCATATCTTTCATTTTGGTTCTGGAAATACAGGTTTTCTTGGCTAAACTCTGGATCAGCCTCGAGCACAGCCTCTGTTGAATATATAAGCATTCTTTTTAACACATGATGATATGGGAAGAGCATGACAACATCTTCAGTTATCTCCTCAGATTCTGCCATAAAGAATTCCCAGGGGAATTGCAGATGACTGTAGGAATTTCTGGTTGTTTCTGCAATTTTAAACTGGAGGGAAGCTTAGCTGCTACTTCCAAAACAGATGCCTCTACAGATAATGTTCACATGTTGATCAGTAAGTACTTTTGAATGAGTAAAAAGTCCAATATAATGGCAAAGAAATCACAAAATGATGTAACATACAATTTGGTCAGGTTTATTTAGGATGCACCACTTAATGCCAAGAGTAAGCAGTGAAGAAGACATAAGCTACAGCTAAAAATATGTTATAGCATCTTTGACTTTAATAGATCCTGTTGGGTGTAATCAGAGATGGGTTTCAGCAGGTTCTGACCAGTTCTGGAGAACCGATAGTGGAAATTTTGAGTAGTTTGGAGAACCGGTAAATACTACCTCTGACTGACCCCGCCCATCTATTCTCTGCCTCCCAAGTCCCAGCTGATTGGGAGGAAACGGAGATTTTACAGTATCCTTCCCCTGGAGTGGGGAGAGAATGGAGATTTTGCAGTATCCTTCCCCTGCCACGCCCACCAAGCCACGCCCACCAAGCCATGCCATGCCCACCAAGCCACACCCACAGAACTGGTAGTAAAAACCACTGGGTGTAATGGTTGAGGCATCAAGGCTAGAAAGTTGGAGATCTTGAGTTCTAGTCCTGCTAGCAGGGAGACCTTGGGCCAGTCACTCTCTTTCATCCCTAGTAAGAAGGTCAGGGCAAACTATTGCCAAAAATCTTGCCAAGTAAAACTGCACAATTCTTTGAAGATGAATATATATTTTTTTAATTTGAGTGGTGTGTAAAAAAGATTGACTTAATTTATTTTTAAAACAATAGTTGCAGTGGCTTACTAAAGAATAAATTACAGTTTTTACAATAACCTGGGTCATTAAATAATACATTACCATAGTTTCACAATGATATATGAGAGCCAAACCAACTACTGTACTATAAAAGTTTACCCAAGTTTTCAGGAGTTTTCATCAGGTGAAAGCATAATTAAAAGGCCCTTAATTAATTTAGGCGTGACATTTAGGTATCACATGATCTGTTCTTCAGCCTTGGTCTAAGAAGGACAAATTGCAGATTGAAAAAGATTTTGTTACTATTAGATTTCAGATTCTATTTTGTATCATAAGGCAAAGAAATAACTATTACCACTAAGAATGCAGTGATATTACATATCTCCCTCTTGAAAATATGAAGATAATATGTGTAATGATAATTTGTTGCAAAACTCGCAGGTTTTGCTCAGTGGTGAAATACAATTTTTTTTTACTACTGGTTCTGTGGGTGTGGCGTGGTGGGCGTGGTGTGGCTTGGTGGGCGTGGCTTGTTGGTGTGGCAGGAGCAGGATACTCCAAAATCCCCATTCCCTCCCCACTCCTGGGGGAAGGATATTGCAAAATCTCCATTCCCACCCCACTCTGGGGCCAGCCAGAGGTAGTATTTGCCAGTTCTCCGAACTACTCAAAATTTTCGCTACCAGTTCTCCAGAACCTGTCAGAACCTGCTGGATTTCACCCCTGGTTTTGCTGAATCAGAACATTGTCCTAACTAATTTAGGTCTGATTATTGTGTATGCTCAGAATTTCAGAACAAAGTCTTCCTGGATTAGACTGAATTTGGACACTTCTGAATGTAAAATATATTTCTAATGCTGAACCACATGTTTTTATTTTCAGCAACAGAAACTTTTCAGAACATAAAAATTCTTCCTTCAACTCTAACCAAGGTACGGTTTCCTTCTGAATCCTGGATGCATACTTTTGTGTGTGTTTTTCTCCTTGATCAAGGGACTTACTTTTTCCTCTTTTAAAACTGATAATTTCATAAACTAAGTTCCAAAGACTACATAGAAAGTAGTTAGGCTGGTTTTAATATTTGCTGCTTCTTTTGGCTGCTTAAAATCAAAGAGATAACTCCAGTCTTAAAACAAACATTCATACAAACGAAGAAACATATGCAGTATTGCAATGATGGAAGATGTCCATAGGATAGAGAGAAAGAAAGATATAGGATACGGAGAGACACAGAGATGTAGGGAGTCAAATTAAAAAAAATAATAATTTGTCATGAGTTCTTTTGAGTTATCTACTAACCAACTTCCCTCCGGAGCTTGGTGTTGTTTGTTCCACCGTCCAGTATATTAGTAAGGTGCTCAATGGAGAAAGAGTTATTTTTTCTTTCAATATCAAGATCAGGGTTCACATTTTGTCCCAGAGAATTTGGAGACAATATATTTGCTTTCTTTGCTTCCATTTTAAATACTTTAGAACCTGTGAAAAGCATCCAAAATTAGTTATCTTAGATTCTGAGAACTCATAAAAATATGTAACTAACCAACAATTTGAGTATAGAAAGGAGGCTTTCTTAGAAATGGGTCTAGGAGAATGTCAAAACAATTTTATCTATACTTTCCTGCTGGGTATAACCAATTTCAAACACAGTGGGATTTATTCTGAACAATCATTCTCTAGATTGTGCTGTCAGTGCAAGAGTCTATTTGACTTGATATATTCTACTTAACTCTCGGGAATGAGCTTGTTCATTGTGATTACCAATACCATTATTATGTTCTGTTGGCAATGTGGAGCCACAGTTGCCAAATCCCCCACGACATTTTTATATGCTGTAAATAAATAATTTTTAAATGGTCAAGATTTCAGTAATCTCACATTTAGAATTGTTTCCTAACCTTGCAGGAAACTTCAGACAGCTCAAGGACGGAATAATTTGCCACCAAGTTTATACTATGCACATACTGTTTATTCTTGATGAATGTATTTTATTCTCCTTATGTATACTGAGAGCATATACACCAAAGACAAATTCCTTGTGTGTCCAATCACACTTGGCCAATAAAGAATTCTGTTCTATTCTATTCTATTCTATTCTATTCTATTCTATTCTATTCTATTCTATTCTATTCTATTCTATTCTATTCTATTCTATTCTATTCTATTGAATCTGATAATTTTTATGCAACAGATCTATACACTTTTGTAGCTCTATCTGTACAAATCCTTTGGCGAGATGCTTTGTGAAGCAACCAAAGCATTTCTCCAAATCTACTACTAAGATTTCACAAAGCCACAACTCTTGAAGGTTTGAAGCCACCATTTTAGGGCTGTCTCCATGACTTCTGAGCAAACCTCTGAAGGCCCAGAAGGCAGTTCCTTTCAGATAAAACTGCTGAAGAGATTCTTTGTATGCTTTAGATGATGTGAGGAGGACCTGAAATGGCCAAGGCACGACCACCTCAATGCTTCAATCAGCAGCTTCTGGGGAGGGGGGGGGAGGGGGGCTAAGTGCAAACTGAATGATTTGGATAGTCCTTGAAGAAAGCATCGAAACAATCCACCTTTTATGTGCCAAAAATAACTGGAGCTCATCAAAGAATTGATGTTGCATTTATAACTACAGTGCTTTTATGAGGCATTCTTCTGCTTTATTCAAGCACAAATCAGAAATATCTCAAAAATGTTCAAGAACTGACATAGTGGGGGAAAGAGATGAATAGAATTTGAACCCGAGGAAAAATGAAGATATCACATCAGTGAAAGCAAGAAAGCCAGCTGAGCAAGTCTGGATACCAGATACCAAAGATAACAACTATCATGCAGCTGGTCAGTCTCAGGCGAAGTAACCAGGAACAGAAACTGATTTCCAAGCACTAAAAGTTTGTTACATGCTACCTATACACAAGAATCTGATCTAATGGTCAAATCAAATTGGCGCTAGGTAAGGGTCAACTGAATTTCGGGGGGGAAGGTGGATTTGGGAGTCTTGAGGGAATGTAGTAATTCCAAACTGATGACACATTTAACCCTGCCCCCAGGCTCAGCTTCTCATCTCCTACAGTCAGTAATGGTCAATGGAAAATTGATATGTCATGGAAAGAAATGTGTGATGTGTCAGGGAAAGGGATGTGTTCCTCCAACACCAGAAATTTTAAAGAAGAGATTGGACAACCATTTGTTTGAAATGGTATAGGGCTTCCTGCCTGAGCAGGGGGTTGGACTACAAGACCTCCAAGGTCCCTTCCAACTCTGTTATTCTAATATTGTTGGCAAGAGATTAAGAGCAAAACTGTAAGAGACCTCATGTTGAGAAACTTCACCATTCACCACCCTTGTAAATTCAAACAGTCACTGAATGAATGGTTAATAACCAAGGACTACCTTTACTGCATAAGATCCTGATTTTCTGTATCTCCTTTGAAAGTGTGTGTGAGTGAATTTATTACTGTGTCAGGGTTCCATAATAATAAATTCCACCATCACCTCCTCACACTGGTCAAGACTATTCACTATTAAGTCCCTAGACAGGTCAAACAGGTTTCAAGGTAAGAGACTTTTGCATGTGTTTCAGAGGGATAACATAATCTGTAGACCAGTTCGAATGTGTTTTTGGCTTAGCCTTCTATGTATGTCCAGCTATAAAAACTTCCTATTTTGGCTTGGCACTCTATGTGGATTTGTTTAATTGTGGGTTATTTAATAAATCATTATTAATCAAACTCCAGCTTATTCTTTACCTTTAGGAATCTTTATATAATTACATACTGGCATTTCTTTTTCTTGGGAAGTTTCCTAAAATACATATTCACATCCCCACAATACTATCTGATAACCTATATAATTTTAGAAAAACATTTCAGCTCATGTTTTCTGTGACATCCGAGTGGAAAATATTATTTCCTATAAAAGACTATTAGAAAGACAGTACTGTGAAGGATAGCCACTGAAAAAAAATCTGTCATCTTTAAATGGTTGTTATTTTTTTTTGTCAGCCATCTCATACCACCTGACAACTAACAAGCACTGCACTGCACAAATTAACCTTTGCACTGTGCTATTGACACATTAATAGATCACTACGAGAAAGACAAATGTTCAAGGTGAAAGAAGAAAAATAAAGCCTTTTGTATATCACCTCCTGCTCTAACATATGCCAGTGAAACATGGACACTAACCTCACAATCCATACAAAAGCTACGAATGGCGCAAAGAGCCATGGAAAGATAACATGCTCGGCATCACAAGACAAGATAGAAAGGCCTGCACTTGGCTTAGAGAACAAACAAAAGTATACAATATCATCAAGAGAGTAAAAGAATTGAAATGGAAATGGGCTGGCCACATAGCAAGAAGAATTGATGGCAGGTGGACCAAGGCAGTCATAGAATGGATCCTATTTGATAAAAGGCATCCACGAAAGAGACAGTGATCAAAGTGACAGTGTGATCAAAGCTCTACCAATGTTTAATGTATGTCTCCCATGCAACACACACAAAAAAGAGGCAAAGCTACTATAACCACCATTTTGCCTTTTTAAACTACATTCAACCCTGATCATTACACAACGCTGTCAAGGCAATTTGCCAGTTACTTCTCACATTTGTAGCTCAAACACCTGCATAATTAGGGAGAAGAAAGTATAACTTATTCCAATGTGACAACCTCAAAAGAGAGGCATGCGTAAGTCAAGGAGTGTGTAACTTATCTCAAACACCTTAGATGAATTGAACCCACAGAATTGAATGGGGCTTATGTACAGGAATGAACCTTAAGCCCAGAGGAGAAAAAGACATTGCAAGGCCATCTTTCAACTTAGTAGAAAAGATAGGGTGGGTGTGGGGGAGAATAATTTATTACACTAAAACCAAATCGAAGAGTCCAAAAGAATGATTGAAACTCGTCAAAGAAATGAAATGAAGATCGCAGGCAACCTATGGGAGGTTCAGTTATGATGTTGCTAGCTCAGCCACAAATTCATGGGAAGCTTTAGCTGCCTACTTCAAATGAAAACTTACAGGAGTTTTCTCTAAATAAATTCTATCAAGTTAACTGGCAGGCAACAACAAGTCTCAGCGCGCAAAAACAAGAACGACAACATTGCCTTGTCTCAGCACAGACTTCTTATTCGGGGAGTTAAATCTCCAAAGATACAAATTATCAAGGAAGTGTGCCTCGAATCGCAACCCTGGTAGCATTTCCCCCACTTGAAGCTTTCTTTGCAGCTTTACTCATCGCAAAGCGTTGTCAACTTTGTGTCGGTCAAACTCCAGCCAGCGAGCTGACAGTTCTGCAGAAGCAGATGCGTTTTCATTTCTTGGAGAAAACTCAATTCAACCTCATCCTAATCTTACAAACCTAGGCAGCCCACCCAGAAACGTCAGGAAAAAAAAAAAAGACACAACTTGGGAAAGTCATTATCCTTCGCAGAAACTTTCAAGAAACTTTCAAGAAGAAATCATTTCCATTCCTTTCGATCAGTGAACGGTGACAGACGCGTCCCGTTTGCCTTGGCTTGGATGCCCACCTCGGACCCGGGTCCACTTACCTTGCCGGCTTTCCAAAAAAAAAGAAAAAGAAAAAAAGAAAAGAAAAAAGAAAAGAAAAGAAAAGAAATCCCAGCGCGCTGCCCTCGCTCGGTTATCGAACTTCTAAATTAGAGTAACCTTTCCAGACTTCCTTCTCTTCTCTATGATTCCCTGCTTTCTCTTTTTCTTTCTCTCTGGTGGAGTCGCTACTGCTTCCTTCTGGAGGGAATGCAAGTTACAGTAACTGGTTGGGAAATCGAATTGGCTGCTTTGGGGAGCGGAGGGGAGAAAGGAGAGCAGTTTTTTTCGAAGGCAGGGGAGAGAGAGAGAGAGAGAGAGGAGGAAGGAAGGAAGGAAGGAAGGAAGGAAGGAAGGACTGGTTTAGCAGATAGTACCACATGGGAGCCTTATATAGAAAAGGATTACAATGAAAAGTTACAGAGTCACTATAAAGGCAAAAATTAGGAGTAGTCTGGTAGTACCTTTTCAGACTAATGTATCTTACTTAAAAGGTGTAGGCTTTTAAATCAAAATCTAAGGGACTGGACTGATTTGGACAAAACTCAGCAGCACTTTTTCGTGTGGCTGTTGATAAAAATAGGATCGCCAACATGATCGCTAATGTCCAATGATCGATATGGCACAAGTAGAAGAAGGCTTTTAAAAGGGGAAGGAAGGAGGAAGGAAGGAAGGAAGGAAGGAAGGAAGGAAGGAAGGAAGGAAGGAAGGAAGGAAGGAAGGAAGGAAGGAAGGAAAGGTTCTTCAATCAGCTGTCCAGAGTGGGTAGTTTTGGGCTATGCTGCTGGGAATTATGAGCTCTGAAGGCCAACATTTCTGGGGAATAGATGATTGAGATGGCTGCTGTAAGCACTTAACCAGAGAATTGGTGCCATTGCACTAGGAACAGTGTGAGAAAGAGAAATGGCAGATCTGATTACTATTCCACCTTTGTTGTTTATTCATAATTGAAGGCGACAAACATACTCCTTCCTCTTTTTCCCATAACAGCAACCCTAGGAAGTTGGTTGGGCTGAGAGAAAGTCTCTGGCCCAAGATGCCTTTCATGGCTAAGTGGGACTAGAACTCACAAGCCTCTTTGTTGCTAACGATTATTTTGTTGTAAAGTATGGAGAATAAATACACAATATTTGGGCTGGGACTGGAGAGATCCAAGTTTAAGTCCACCCTCAGATGAGTGATTTTGATCATATCTTAGCCCAGTGTTTCTTAACCTTGGCAACTTTAAGATGTGTGGACTTCAACTCCCATGCTGGTTTATTCCTGGAAATTCACAAACTATACAGATCTGTTATACAGATTGTATAGAAAGTGATATCCAACCAATTAAACTGAAGTATTCCAAAGATGCCCAAGTGCTATTAGTATTCTACACATACATGTATGTACAGACACATACACATCCCTGCTGTACATATAAGTACATTATAAGTAATATGTGATTCGTTTGATTTGGGGTTGTGACCCTGCCCGTTGTGGTAAAACCATTATGGCTTTGTATCTCAGTGAGAATGAGCTAATTGTGATTTATTTAACAAAGCATGAAACAGTGTGAGAAACTCCAAAGACCTACCTTGCTTAATCATGCTTTGTTAAATAAATCACTGTTTTATTTTCCAACAATGGGAGTTACCAACATAAAACAGTGATTAGCATAATTCCTTTGAAGTATTATGGCTTCCAAAGAGGTAATAAGCAAGTCTACTGAGAGATTTAGCAATAAAGAACCTACACATTAAAAGCAAGATTACTATATATTTCCCCAAAGAACTGATTCTTTCAAACAGTAGTCTATAGATTTAGAATTTGAGAGACATGATGTATTGATTATTACGTGCCATTAAGTCATTTTTGATTCCTAGTGATCACATAGATTTTCTCCAAGATACACAATTTCTTCTTTCTTTTTATGTTCTAAGTAATATATGGTATCAATTGTAGAAAGGTAGCACCCACCCCTCTCCTAGAAGAATGAAATATTCTAGGAAATATTAAAAAGGCAGAATATTATATTTCCCTGGATGAGAAAAGGAGAAACATGTTTTTAAAGACAAAGAGCAGCTCCCTGCAGCTCCCTGCCCCCAGCAGATATTTGGTGCACATTAAAACTGGGCCAGCCTATCTACAAGATCTACAAGAACTTCAGTTCCAGGGTGATGGGATTAAGACATGACCCTCAGGACATAATAGGATTAGCCCTCTACTCATCTAGCAGCAGGGCTCACTGCATTGCGAAATCACCTGGGGACATTACATCACCTAGCAAGGTTCAACCAAATTAAATCAGACAACCTATTAGTTATGACCCCTGCATAGCCGCCTGGGAGTCTGACAACCAATACAATACATTTCTTGCACAGGAACAGGAAGCTCAAGGGCAAGGCCCAAGAGAGGGTATAAATACCGCTTTCTCTCAACTCCATGTGTTCAGCTGCACGGGACCTAAAACTCATGTGGTCCGGTCCTCAATAAACCATCTTTCCAATCAGCCTCCAAGTTTCCAGTGTCTTTCTCCCCATTTGGAACTTGAACGCAGATGGATATTTCTTCCAACCCAATAATGTCTCATATATCTTGGCCTTTTCTAAAACTAATTTAAATGTCAGGAATGTACTTTTTCCATGTAGGACTCTAATCCGCATTAGGAGATCCTAAACATTAGTTTGCTAGCATGTGAAATTAAGGATATTGTATTATAGTCTGTGTGCTCTATTAAATCTCCCTTTTTTTTTTTTTAGTATAGGAGTGTAAATTAACCTCTTCCAGTCTGTTGGCCACTGTGTCATTCTCCAGATTTGCTGGCATAGCTTGGTTAAAACCTTGAGTGATTCTTCTGTTCCTTGCCATATTTCAGCAAATATTCCATCAGTTCCTGTAAACTTCCAACCTGGGAATGATCAGAACACTAATATAGCTTCATATTCTAGTAATACAGGTTCTAAAGGAATATCTTCTGAAGTATCTAGGATGTTGGCACCTCAACTGTAGAATGTTTCAGTATAGCCTTCCATCTTCCTTTGATCTCCTTTTATCAATTACTATCTGACGTTCACATCTTTTAGCATGCCAATTTGAGGTTGGAAAATCCTCCTGAGTTCAGTGATCTTTTGAAAGACTTTCCTTGTTTTCCCATGTCTATTTCCATCTTCAAAGTCTTTGCAGATGTTATTATAATACTGTTTCTTGTCTCTTCTTACAGCTCTTTGAAATTCTATGCTAAGTTCCTTTCTGTGATTTTTGTCTTTCTTGGTTTTGGTTCCCTCCACAGGGGTTCTCCCCCCCCCAAAATCCAGTTTGCTTTATTTTCTTTCTTCATTTTTGGTAATCTCTCTTCACATTCAACCTTAACAACGTCTTTAAATTAATTCCATAATTCCTCTGTTTATCAGTGAGGTACAGGGCTTAAAAGTGATTCCTGATGTTCTTTGTGAAAATGGTTGGTGTACACTCAAAATCATACTTTAGAAACTGGTTGGCTTTCTTCTTCTTTAACTTTTTTTTTTTAACTTAACTTGGAGCTTGCACGTAAGCAGTTCATGATCTGTCATCACGATGTAAAAAAGATGTGAAGACTCTAAAAAGAGTGCAGAGAAGAGCAACAAAGATGATTAGGGGACTGGAGGCTAAAACATACGAAGAACAATTGCAGGAACTGGGTATGTCTAGTTTGAGGAAGAGAAGGACTAGGGGAGACATAATAGCAGTTTTCCAATATCTCAGGGGCTGCCACAAAGAAGAGGGAGTCAAACTATTCTTCAAAGCACCTGAGGGTAGAACAAGAAGCAATGGGTGGAAACTAATCACGGAGAGAAGCAATTTAGAATTAAGGAGAAATTTCCTGACAGAACAATTAATAAGTGGAACAACTTGCCTCCAGAAGTTGTGAATGCCCCAACACTGGAAAATTTTAAGAAGATATTGGATAACCATTTGTCTGAAGTGGTGTAGGGTTTCCTGCCTGGGCAGGAGGTTGTACTAGAAGACCTCCAAGGTCCCTTCCAACTCTGTTATTCTAAGATGTTCCATAGTTAGCACCTACCCAAGTATGTGGTGCTATAATTGAGCTGCTCCAGTTCATTCTCGCAATAATATAATCAATTTGATTTTTATGCACCCTACTGAAATCATCATCATTATCATCATTTTAGCCACTGTCTATCCACTTCAGAATGAAGGCCTGTTCCATATATTTCCAACCTATACAGTCCTGAGCTTCTTTTTGCCAATTGGGCCTGCAATATTTGCTGATTTCGTCAATCGATCTTGTTTTAGGTCTGTTGTAAGTTGTTGTAAGTTTTAAGTTGTACTTTCTTCTCCCTAATTATGCAGGTGTTTGAGCTACAAATGTGAGAAGTAACTGGCAAATTGCCTTGACAGGGTTGTGTAACGATCAAGGTTGAATGTAGTTTAAAAAGGCAAAATGGTGGTTATAGTAGCTTTGCCTCTTTTTTGTGTGTGTTGCATGGGAGACATACATTAAACATTGGTAGAGCTTTGATCACACTGTCACTTTGATCACTGTCTCTTTCGAGGTTGCCTTTTATCAAATAGGATCCATTCTATGACTGCCTTGGTCCATCCGCCATCAGTTCTTCTTACTATGTGACCAGCCCATTTCCATTTCAATTCTTTTACTCTCTTGATGATATCTACTTTTGTGTTGCTCTCTAATTCATGTCCAGGTCTTTCTATCTTGTCTTATAATGCTGGGCATGTATCTTTCCATGAGTCTTTGTGCCACTTGTAGCTTTTGTATTGATTGTGAGGTTAATGTCCATGTTTCACCAGCAAATGTTAGAGCAGGTAGGACACACTGATCCAAAAACTTTTCTCTTGAGGCATAGAGGGAGGTTGTTCTTGAAAATTATGCTTAGGTTGCCGAATGCCTGCCAACCACCTTTAACACGCCATGCAATTTCCTTTATTGAATCACCTTCCATTGAGATCCATTGGCCAAGGTATATGTAATGGTCTACTACATCTAATTCTTTTCCAGATATTTTTTTCTTTCTTTAGTGTGTTTATTAACCATAACCTGGCTCTTTTTCAGGTTTATTTTTAAGCCAAATGGTTCTCCTGCTTTGTGCAGCTCTTGGGTGTGTCTTTGTAGCTCTTCTGGGTCTTGTGAGAAAAAGAACAACATCATCTGCAAATCTTAAGTGATTTAAATAGGTGCAGTTGATTTTTATTCCATATTTTGCCCAATCTAGTTTGTGAAATACTTCTTCAAGGCAGGCTGAAAAAAGGATAAATGATATTTTACCACATTGTTGTGCAACTTGTTCTATGTTAATTTCCACTTTAAGATCATTAAGGCAAATTGCCACCATTATTTCTTTTTGATATATTGATTGGAATAATTTTATGTAAGCAGTGTCTACATCTTTGTTGAGCAATGCATTAATTATTGCTTGCTGGAATACTGAGTCAAATGCCTGAGAGGCATGGTGTACTCACTGTGCCTTTCAATGACTTGCTGAACAACCTGGATGTGATCCATTGTAGCCTCTACTGAACTACTATACCAGTGATGGCTAACCTTTTTGCCATCGCATGCCAGGAAGGGGGGAGGCGGGGGGAGGTTTGTGTGTGTGTGTGCCCACACCCATAATTCTATGTGCCCCGCCACGCGCATGCGAGCATGACCCCCCTTCCCCCCCACTCCTGGCACGTGATAGCCCGGTAAGCCCGTTTTTCTTTCTCACCTGGCTCCAGATCCTCTCTATGCATCTGGGGAGGGTGGAAACAGCCTTCCCCAACCCCTCGGAGGCCGGAAGTTGGGAAATGGGCCATTTTGGGCCTCCAACTGGGTGGGGAAGGCTGTTTTCGCCCTCCCCAGATGCATAGAGAGGATCTGGAGCCAGGGAGAAAGAAAAACGGGCCTCCCCCCCAGGCCCTCTTATGGTGGGCCCAAAAGGGCCGAAAATCAGCTGACAGAGCTGAGCTGGCATGCCAGGCAACATGGCTCTGCGTGCCACCTGTGGCACGCATGCCATAGGTTCGCCATCACGGTACTATACTATATTAGGAAGTAAAAAAAAAACTTGGAAGAAGTAGTTCTTGCATTGTATGGCATGTAAGAGTCAAACTCCTTTAGAGGGAATCTTCCTGGATTCAAGGAGAATCCTAAAGCATTATTTTGCTAGCCTATGAAATTAAATATGTTCTGCAATATTTTTCACAGTACATTAAGTCTCCTTCCTTTGCTATTGGCATGTAGAACCACTTCCAACATGTTGGCCATTTGTCATTTTCCAGATCTGCTGCCATAGTTTGGTTAAAACCTTTATTCCTTCCATTGCTTGCTAGGTTTCTTTTCCTCAACTTCAGTGTACACTTCCAGTGTGCTTCACTCTTCTCTCCTAGGAACAACCCCTGCCATGAAGAAACAGCACAGCAGGATAGGGTGTAGATTTTCTATACATACCTAATAACCTATCTGAAGGACATCTAACTGGAGGAGGTGTGCTAGGTGGAGAAGTCACTTTATTTTAAATAAGCCTTCTTCTGTTGGTTAATAACACTGTAGGGCTCTGAAACCTGAGTTACACACATCCCACTAAATTGTCATGTGGCCGATTACGACATCATGTATAACCTAGTTACAGAAGTAACCTATTTTGAAAATTCTCATAAATAATTGATCCATTAACTAACTAAACATATTAAAGGTAAAGGTTCCCCTTGCACATATGTGCTAGTTGTTCCCGACTCTAGGGGGCGGTGCTCATCTCTGTTTCAAAGCCGAAGAGCCAGTGCTGTCTGAAGACGTCTCTGTGGTCATCTGGCTGGCATGACTAAATGCCAAAGGCGCATGGAACGCTGTTACCTTCCCACCAAAGGTGGACCCTATTTTTTTTACTTGCATTTTTTATGTGCTTTCGAACTGCTAGGTTGGCAGAAGCTGGGACAAGTAACGGGAGCTCACCCCGTTATGCGGCACCAGGGATTCGAACCCTTAATCTTAGTTTCTTATCATCAAGTATAGGATAATGTACAAATAAAGACTGGGTCTCCAAAACTGATCTGGGTTAGTATATTGTATGAACACCGCCATTTCGTTTAGTTGTATGGTCCCAGCTGTTGTGGTTTCTTCTGCAAGTTCAATCATGAACCATTGTTTAATGCTATGTGTAAACCTAGCCTGAGAAACAAGATTAGTTGTAGATATTCATTGTTAGTTGCTTCCTCTGTTCTTTCATGAAGATATGTTTGAAGCAGAATGGCCTGCTTGGAGGGCTAGCCTGGCAGTCACAGCACTTGGACCTGCGCTGTGTGGATTGCGGAACCCGAGCGCACATGCGGGCTACAGCTGCTGCTGGACACTGTCCGTCCCCATGTGCTCACTGCCTCCTTTGCATGCACTGGGGTGGGCCAGTCCCTTACCATCTCTGGGATGGCTCTGCAGGCCAAATCTGAGCTCATCACAGGCCGAATCTGGCCCATGGGCTTTGTGTTCCACATGTCTGCCCTATACCATTTCAGACAAATGGTTCTCCAGTCCCTTTGTAAAAGCCTCCAGTGTTGGAGCATTCACAACTTCTGGAGGCAAGTTGTTCCACTGATCAATTGTTTTAACTGTCAGGAAATATCTTAATTCTAGGTTGCTTCTCTCCTTGATTAGTTTCCATCATTGCTTCCTGTCCTGCCCTCAGGTGCTTTGGAGAATAGTCCGACTCTCTCTTCTTTGTGGCAAACCTTGAGATATTGGAACATTGCTATGATGTTACCCCTAGTCCTTCTTTTCATCAAACTAGACATAACCAATTCCAGCAACTGATTTTATTATTCATTTTATAATTTACAATTAGATACGAACATACATATTAATTATAATTGTATGATCACCTGAACCATTCTATGATTAGAGACGGAGCTAGGGCCAACGAACGACCAGAGGAGCAGGACAAGCCAGATCCCTTGGGCCTGGGAAGGATTGCCAGTGAAGGTGAGAAGGCGCAGGATGCCCAAGCAAAGCGGGAGGAGAGGACAGGCAGTGGAGCAGGGGAGCGATGGAGCTCCAGCGATGAGCAATTATTTCCCTCCTGATCCCCAAGCATGGAGAATGGAGAGGAAGCAGGATCAGCGCAGGGCGACCCAACAACTCAGGAGAAGGACACCCCGCCTCTCGTCACAAGGCTCACCTGAGGAATGAGATATAAAGAGATGCCGTTGGGAGGGGCACTTGTCGGGAACAAGCATTGCCTTTTTCCAGTCTCATGTGCTGTTACCAACATCTGGATACTTTGCTGTGCCTTGCCTTGCTTGCCTGGCCTGGCTATGTGCGAATTCACAGCAACCCAGTTCTGTTCCAGGTTGTGCTGCAGTCTCAGTGACTGCAGTGCCCAGCCTCAGGTCATCACACATTTTAAGTTCACTGAGGTTGAGAAACATTGCCCTGAAGAATGCAAAGTTCATGTTACTTCCTTCCCCCAAACATTTCCAAAATGCTAAACTACCCACAACAGCGGGAATGTTAGTGCATCTGTATCATATTTCTAAGCACTCCTGCTTACATACTGAATTCATTAAGATGGGCTCTAATAGCCCAATATGCATGTCATCTAGCTCGCCAACTCAATGTGTTTGCTTCCAGTTATTTGGAAGAGCATTGTGTTTTGGTCCCCTTTACACTGAAAGTGGTTTTGGATGCTTGACTCTCTACATTGTGCTATGCTAAAAATCAAAGGCCATATTGTGGCTCAGTGTGATTCGTAGATCTTTGCAAAAATCGAAAAGATCATGAGACAGTAGCAGAGAAATATAGAAAATATAGAATAACTCTGGTTTCATCCCCCAAACCCCAAAATTTTAACCTGTCTACTGTTGACCTCACCCCATTCCTAAGAGGTCTGTAAGGGGCGTGCATAAGAGCACCAGCGTGCCTACCGTCCCTGTCCTAATGTTTCCTCTACTTGTATCTACTTTATGTATTCAATTCATTCTTATAATTATATAAATTACCTAATACGTTCTTGACAAATAAATAACTTAAAAAACAACACTACCAGCTTTTGTCTTTTAAAGTCCTTATTTTTAGTAGTCCAGATACGATAGGCCTAGCAAGTTAGAAATTTATCCATTGTGTTTGCAGAGTGTTTGCTGAGCAAATAACCTGGCTAATTGTGGCTTATTCAAAAAGAAATATCTGTAAGAAAATCATGCATGAACCCTTCCACTCAATGTAAAGGCTATACACAGAGAACAGGTCAGGTAGGAGGGGCAAATCTAAAGCCAGCAAATCTCAGGGTACACTTGACAGTTAAATAAATAGTTAAGCAACCACTGAGTTTCAAGGCCATGAGGCACTAGACCTAAAATGCCCTAGAAAAGGAGAAAAACACTGCAACATTCTGACATACTTCTTTTAAACAGCTTCATGGCAGTATCCAATCAAAATCCTTGCCTAACTCTGCCACATCACGAGGGGTGGGTTCTACTTATCTTTACTACCGGTTCACAATGGGAGTGCATGCATTTCTGCGCATGTGCAGATCATTCAATTATGACGCCTGGATGGGTGGGCGGAGCCTCCCACTGCTTTTACTACCGGTTCTAAAGAACCGGACAGAACCGGGAGCAACCCACCACTGCACATCACGTCTGTGAGGTTTTAGCTGACTTCAAACCTGGCAGCTCTGCTATGGCAACTTGAAAATCCAGGAATTTCTTCCTGCTGTTACGTTCTGCTTGTTTTTTCTCTCTCTGGCGCTCATCTCCCTATAATCCCATTTGATAGATGGTGCTCCAATCTTTATATCCTACCGCGATCAGCTTTTCAGATTTCTTGGCATGATGTTGCGGTCCCAACACATCTCCATGTGTTTCAAAAGCAACACAGAAGGCACGAGAAAACAAACTTGTTCCTCTTGATACCTCGGAAGGTGTAACTTTTTAAAAAGAAAATCACAAATCAACTTTATTAATTTTAAACAGTAAAATTAAGTTTATTTGGTTGTTGCCTGCTTTAATTCACAGAATATAGACTCCACAAAATATACAACGGCTCTTTATTAATAAGCTTCCCCCCCCATCCCAAAATCTGTGGTTACAATCAATTCATATATGAGTTCTAGATGATACATATAGATAATACGTGTTATGTATTATTTTGGCTGGTCCTTCCCTGGTGGTCTTCTGCATCTCAGAGGGTCCATCCTACCAGGAAAGCGGACCATAATTTGTAATATAAATTGTGAAACTAAGAAAAAAAAAAACTATTGCGGCTTTTGGTTATGTTTATCTTCGGTTCAAGACTAAATGAATAATAAACGAATAACAACGAATTTTAAGTAGTCTTTAGAAGAAGTCTCTTGTATTTGGTGTAAAAATCACAGCTATCCTTCTGAAAACCAAAAATGAATGGTCCTCCTTTGGATAGACATGTGGCCTATTCTTGACTCCATCTCCAGAAAGCAGAGCTGAAGAGGGGTTGGCAATTTACCTTTTTGCCTTCCTGTTATCATATATTTTAAAATCCATCTAAAACAGTCTGTATTATAGTAAATATCTGTATAATAAGCACATTCAGGATTTTAAAAACAGGAAAGGGCACCTTAGAGGTGTAGACTTCATGTAGCTATAATCTATAAATAACCTTCAATTTTATTATATATTTTTAAAAAAGAATCTTAGTTTAATGTGTTATATTTGTGCAAAAATTCAGAAGACCTTACATCTGGTATTGTTCTTTGACTTTCTCCTTAGAATTCTTTGCTGTTTCCCTTTTTTTTTGTGGATTTGTCACTTGCTTTTTCTGAGACATACACATAGATGTCTGCTTTTTGTGTCACTCTCGTAGTTGGTTTTTTACACATTCAGAGGATTCCACCTTCTGCTACTTTTTCTGCAGCTGTTAAGGATCCTTTCCATAAAGTATCTTATTTTATTTCTGCTTCTCATTCTGGACACCAGTAGTAGATGCTGAAAGACTGGTGGACTATATTCCACTATTTGGAAATAACTCCGAATCTATTTGTCATAGTAAACTTGACTATACAACTATCATGGATGTTGATTTGTGACAAGAATCTTAAAACATCATTTCATGCCTGCTAAATCCCAATAACAAAGAAACACACATATTTTTACTGGTTATTGTTGATGGGATACAGCACCTAAGATGCCAGCCTAGGTTGAGGTGCTCTAAATCTTAGCTAGTACTTTCCTTATTGATCATAACTTCTCTTTTTTGCCATCTTTTTTAGTTTCCCAACTTGCTCCCTCAAGCATTAATTTAGCTAAACTGAAGATTTCAATACCAGCTCTGCCGTATAAACATCTGAATCCCAAATGTTTAGCAATCTCTCTTCACACAACCTCTCCCATTCCACACGTGCGCCTGTCCTGCTGAATCTCAAAGGATTAGCCAAGGGTTAGTGATGGGAAAGGATAATACATGTAGTATTATCTCAGTACTTGAAAGGAAGGTGAGGTCTGTATTACCTTCCCTGTCTTTTTCTCAATTGAGGACCCTTGTGAACGAAAAGCCACCTTATTTGGATGTTCTTCTTTTCCCAGGTGAAAATGCCCCAATCATTTTTTTTTTTATTGGAGCAAGCGTTAATGTACAGTAAGTAGCCCCCCGAGAACAAAACTTTGAATGTCCACTGTTTACCAAAATGTCAGCATGTAGGTATTCAAAGCAGAAGGTCTTGATCTATTTTGGTCTTTAGCTGATGCTTTACTCTGCCCCAGGTAGCGTAGATGTTCTCCTCAGGTTTTCTTTGACTTTAATAAATTCTGGCGCACTCTCTTCTTGCTTCTCATCTTCCCTTTCCAGCTGTTTAAAAAAAGGCAGAAGAAATAACTAGGTGAATTTTTTTGGGGTAATTTTTTTAAATAATCTCCACAACGTTTCTTAGTTATAGGAAATGGGAGACCAGTCAAAACTTTTAAGGGAAGTTAACAGGCTCTGTGATGTGTCACTCGTTGAGGCTGTAGATAACTGGCCTTAAGTGTCACCATCTGCATCCAGCCACTGAACCAACTTTTGTTTTTTGTTAATCACAGTTTAGAACCTCAAGTGTTATTTGAATTCTCAGCCCTGTATCAGGCAACTAAGCTTATCAACTCATCAGCTTTCATTTTCAGTCCAATTGATACCTTAAGGTCACTTCTATTTTCTTGATGCAGTAACTGATTGAAAATGGATGTCACCGTTCAAAATTTGTCTCTAATTGTGCTCAGTAAGAAGGTTCAGTAATAAATGATCCTCAGGTACCTGTGTGCATGTTTAAAACTTTCTTTTTTTTAAAAAAATAAATAAATTCTTTCCTAGTGTTTAATTCTTTTTCTTCCAGACATGTATTAAATTAACTCAATTTGGGTGGGTTGCATTGGAAAATGTTGCTTATTTTTTCCTCTTTTCTCAACAATTTCATCTACAACTCCTAGTCAAAGATACAATCTATCATCTCTCTCTCTCTCTCTCCCTCCCTCCCCCCCTCTCTCTATATACATACTGTACATATCAGTGGTGGGATTCAATTTTTTTTTATTACTGGTTCTGTGGGGTGGCTTGTTGGGTGTGGCTTGGCTTGTTGGGCGTGGCTTGTTGGACATGGCAGGGGAAGGATACTGTAAAATCTCCATTCCCATCCTACTCCAGGGGAAGGTTACTGCAAAATCCCCATTTCTTCCTGATCAGCTGGGACTCAGGAGGCAGAGAATAGATGGGGTGGGGCCAGTCAGAGATGGTATTTACTGGTTCTCCGAACTACTCAAAATTTCCACTACCTTCTACAGAACTGGTCAGAATCTGCTGAATACCACCTCTGATACATATACATACATATACACACACACACACACAAACACACATAGAGAGAGATTTATATTTATCTATCTATCTGTCTGTCTGTCTGTCTCTGTCGATCTATATCTATCTATCTATCTATCTATCTATCTATCTATCTATCTATCTATCTATCTATCTATCTATCTATCATATCTCTATCATCTCTCTATCAATCTAAATCTCTCTCGCTCTCTTTCATCATCTTTCCATCCCTTTCCCTCCCTCCCCCCTCTCTCTTTGTATCCTGCCTTTATTATTTTTATAAATAACTCATGATCATGAAATATCCAGCACACTTTCCTCTTCCTATATTCTCCACAATAACAACATGTGAAGTATTGGGCTGAGAAAGAATGACTGGCTCAAAGTCACCCAGCTGGTTTTCATGACTAAGATGGGACTAGAACCAGGGTGGATTTGATTTAAATTGAGTTGATTTACATCACAATTTAAATCATGATTTAAATCACTAGTAAAAAGGCTTGATTTAAATCAACTCGATTTAAATCATAATTGTTAAAGAGCAACTGTCATCTCTGCTACTCCTTTGACCCACTGTTGACTCACCGATAGTCCCAGTGGTGCAGAATATACAGCCTCATGCTACATAACTAAGCTCCATTTCATGCTGAATAAATTAAATTATTTATGTATCTTAAATAGAAAACTATCTTACGATAGATTTTTACCCCAAAAGTTTTTTATTAAAATAAGTTCGATAAAAATAAAAAAATCTGATTTAAATCAAAAAAATCTGATTTAAATCAAAAAAATCTGATTTAAATCAAAAAAATCTGATTTTTTTGATTTTTTAAAAAAAATCATTGATTTTTATCCACCCTGACTAGAACTCATCGTCCCCACTTTCTAGCCTGGTATCTTAACCACCAAATTACCAAATGGACTCTTATCAGTGGTGGATTTCAAATTTTTTTACTACCGGTTCTGTGTGTCACTGCGTTATTTTATTTACCAGCTGAGCTCATTATTTCTGGACTGTCAGACTCTCCGTAGCTTTGCCAACTTCTTATCAGTAAGCTACGTGTTTCCGCATCCACCCACATTCCTTCACTTGCTTCTTCACACTCTTTCCTTTGTTCTCTTGCCAGAGGTCCGGCTCAGATAGCCGGCAAAAATTACTTTCAAAAATGTAACAATTAACTTTTCTTAGTTAGTGAGGTGTTTTATTTTCTTTATAACAAATAAATGAGTTTTATTAGAAACCTTCCTTCGCGTTTCTTTTTCGGAATATTGCAACAAGGATAAGCCTCGATTCATCTACTCTAAACCAGGGTAATTAGTCCCAGAGCCAAACATGGGATTAATAAATGCCCTGACACTGTGGGTGTGGCTTGGTGGGCGTGATATTGCTTGGTGGGTGCGGCAGGGGAAGGACACTGTAAAATCTCCATTCCCACACCACTCCAGGGAAAGGATACTGCAAAATCCCCATTTACTCCCGATCAGCTGGAACTTGGGAGGCAGAGAATAGATGGGGGCGGGGCAAGTCAAATTTTTTACTACCAGTTCTCCGAACTATTCAAATTTTCTGCTACCGGTTCTCCAGAACTGGTCAGAACATGCTGCAACCCACCTCTGCTCTCTATCCTTCTACCTGAGCAGATAACAGCTTTTAACTCACTTAAATTTAAACACGTTGTTAAATAGTTTGTTTAAAAAAAATGTTACAAATTATTGTAAACAATGAACCTAAGGACAGGGAGAAGAAAACTGTGTTATGGAGACATCTGCACCTGACAGAAGTTACAGTTGGTTTGTTTTGTGACATGTTACGCAACCCCCAGAACGGTCACTTTCGCTGATTAAAAGAAACTGAAATTTGAAGCCTGGCCTGTTTAAGGCCAAAGAGAACATCAGACAAAGAATTTAGTATGTGGATACTCATAGGAGCTTAATTTCATGCTTTTTGGCAATTGAAAGAGAAACTTTATTCTGACATGTTATCCCTCTGGTTTTGTAGTTCCCAAGTTCTGAACAGTCTTTTACTTTTTGGCCTGTTTTGAAGCTTTGCCTTCTAATGCAATGAAGTGAAGACTCACACAAGTCCCTTATGCCCAAAGCCTCTCTGTGTATCAAATGGAAAGGACTGAAATTGTAGGTCTTTGGGCTCTTGCACTGCCTTTTTTAAATAGATCATATTTTTTCATCACTTCCTTTTAACAGTTTTCCATGGGAGATTACATAAATTTTATATGGTTCTCTCTCTCCTTTCAGACTTGAATGCAGGTTCCAATATCAACATATTAATGAGAATCCTCCCTCAAAATTGTCAGTTTTGGGTCTGTTGGCAGTTTGAGAATAAAGACAGTTAAATCTACAAAGCCAATTGTGGAAAAACCAGTGGTGAACTGTTTATAATTTTAAGAGTGCTACATTTATATCACTGGTGAAATCCAATTTTTTTTACTACCGGTTCTGTGGGCGTGGCTTGGTGGGGTGGGGTGGCTTGGTGGGGGTGGCAGGGGAAGGATATTGCAAAATCTTCATTCCCACCCCACTCTGGGGCCAGCCAGAGGTGGTGTTTGCCGGTTCTCCAAACTATTCAAAATTTCCGCTACTGGTTCTCCAAACTGCTCAAAATTTCTGCTACCGGTTCTCCAGAACCTGTCAGAACCTGCTGGATTTCACCCCTGATTTATATTGTATATTTCTGGGGCCTCTACAATGTTGGAAGTTGGGGAGTAATGTTTTACAGTGGTTCTACTCCTACTTCAGTGTGGAGTGTTAGTCATTTATCCTGGGGGGATGGGAGTGCAATGCCCAAAAGTTTAGGAATATCAGTGTGGGTGCCACAGGTTTGATGCTCTCTAGCCTGTTATTTTAACATCTATCTGAAATTATCAGAGGAGGTCATTCAGTGCCTTGTGAAGAGATATCATCAATATCGTCATGATATTGTTATATACTGCATTCTAACTGTAAAATACTAATTCTACCCACTGTGGCGCAGTGGTTAGAATGTAATATTGCAGGCAAACTCTGCTCACAGGCTGGAGTTCATTCCTGATGGGGCTCGAGGTTGACTCACAGCCTTCCATCATTCTGATGTTGGTAAAATGAGAACCCAGATTGTTGGGGGCAATATGCTGACATTGTAAACCACCCAGAGAGTGCAATAAAGCACTATGGGGCAATATATGTCTAAGTGCTATTGCTATATCATGAGCCACGGTGGCGCAGTGGTTAGAGTGCAGTACTGCAGGTTACTTCTGCTGACTGCCGGTTGCCTGCAATTTGGCAGTTCGAATCTCACCAGGCTCAAGTTTGACTCAGCCTTCCATCCTTCCGAGATGGGTAAAATGATGACCCAGAGTATTGGGGGCAATATGCTGACTCTGTAAACCGCTTAGACAGGGCTGTAAAGCACTGTGAAGCAGCATGTAAGTCTAAGTGCTATTGCTATTGCTATCATCAAACTTTGGCTAAGCCAAGGACCTTGGAGGTCTTCCACAATACTTCAGTTCTTTTTGCTTGCAGAAGAGTTTCTGACTGTTTGTTTCAAAGCTACCTTCCTTGCTCTCTACACTACAAGTAGTTCTCCACTTAGGACCACAACTGAACCCAAAATTTCTGTTGCTAAGTGAGACAGTTGTTAAAGTGAGTTTTGCCCCATTTTGCAACCTTTCTTGCCGCAGTTATTAAGTGAATCACTGCACTTGTTAAGTTAGTAACATGATTAAATCTGGCTTGCCTGTTGATGTTGCTTGTCAGAAGGTCGCAAAGGATGATCCCATGACCCCGGGACACTGCAACTGTCATAAATATGAACCAGTTGCCAAGCATCCAAATTTTGATCACATGACTATGGGGTTGTTGCAATGGTCGTAAAGGTGAAAAATGGTCATAAGTCACTTTTTTCCCCAGTGCTGTTGAAATTGTCACTAAACAAACGGTTCTAAGTCAAGAACTACCAGTATTGGAAAAATCTCTGTGTCTTTTGAAGGAGTTTAACCTAGTAGAATCCATAATTATTTCTACCTCATCAAGCTTCTGTTGCCTTTTCAAGAGCTCCTGTTCAAATGGAGATTTTAATTTCTTTGCCTCTTCTTCTTCTTTCCTCTGTTTCAACAGCTGGTTTCGTCGGCGATGTTCCAAGACTCTTTGCAGTTCTGGTTTACTCTCAACTCCTCTAAACGATAAGGTAAACAGTGAAAGACCAAGATTGAACTTGAATGCCAAAAAGATAAATACTGCAGTAAAATAACCTACCAGGGTAATCCTATGAGCCATGGTGGCACAGTGGTTAGAGTGCAGTAATGCAGGCTACTTCTGCTGACTGCCTGCAATTTGGCAGTTTAAATCTCACCAGGCTCTCACCGGCCTTCCATCCTTCCAAGGTGGGTAAAATGAGGACCCAGATTGTTGGGGGCAATATGCGGACTCTGTAAACTGCTTAGAGAGGGCTGTAAAGCACTGTAAAGCGGTATATAAGTCTAAGTGCTATTGCTATGTTTTCCTCGTGTAAAATAAATTCAACTTTCTAGATAGGTTTGTGTCCCTAACCCACCCTAGTCCTGCCATGCTGCCTCATTATAGTGGGGAGATGTTCCTTGGAGAAATAAGTAAACTGCAGTGGGAATGTATGCCAAGAGCACATACTTCACACCCCAGCTGCTCAACTCAAACGAACAGATGCCGGAGGTGGGTGATCATTTTAGTGACAACCACAAAGGCATCATTCATACTGCATAAAAGAAGGCATGGGAGGCCATTTGATTGAGAAAACCAAATGGGTAGTCAAAATGTAGTAAATGTTGATATAGGCCTCTCAAGTTGGGTGCCACTCAAGAGTCTACTGAAGATCTTTCAGAATGCTACTGGTGTTATGACACTGCTAAATGAAAGCTTTCTAGATGGTTGCTAATGTAACCATGCCAGAAAAAATAATCTGAAGCAGCAAAAATAGAATTATGGTGGGAGTATGGAATATAAGAAGCATGGAAAGCTCAATACTCTGTCTGCATCCTTTTTCTTGAGGTCATGCTCCATGTCACCCATTGGCAGATCAGTTTTTGATGATACTCCAGGCAAAAAGTGAAAAAGGAAGTGAACGGAAAGACATAAACAATTGGATATAAAGAAGACCCAAGAAATGACAACAGGTACAACAACTAGCCTTAGAATTGACAATGAGGATATTAAAGTGGTGGATAGCTTGTGCATTTAAGATCAACAATCAACAGTAAAGCTACCAGTACTAAAGAAATACACCACAGATTAGCACTTGTAGAGTTGCCATGAAGTCCTTGGAAATTATTCAGATACAGGGATTTTGTAGGTACACCTACAAAAATAATAATCATATAAGATATTCCCTGTGACACTCCATGGAAGCATAGGTTGGACTCTGCAGAAGTAGGATAGAAATATATTGATGCTTTTGTACTTTGGTATTGGAAAAGACATTTGAGAGTGCCAAGGATAACCCAGAAAACAACCAAACGGATCAATGTCTTTGGAGATTCTCAGTCATCCAGGTCATAGTTGTCTTAAAAGTGATTTTTCAAAAGTCAACTGAACTGTTTTTCCAAATCACTCAGAGTTCTCACTTGAGAAACAGATAACCAGGGTCAAATGATCATATTTTGGACAGACTATGAAAAGACCCAGCAGCAAAATGGATGAATTACAAAGCAATGGATGTAGAACTGAAAGTCTGAATTGACCAAGTTGAGGACAGGTCACTCTAGAGAAAGTTTATTTATATATAGAAAGTTTATTTATGTCTAGAGAAAAAATTATTTATGTTTCTAAGAACTGACAGCAGAATCCAACATGGAAGTTGAGGTTCAATGGAACTTCCAGGAAAGCAAACATCAGAATGTGTAAAGTCAAAGGACACACATGAAAAGCTGCTGGGATAAAATAACGAACTTCTTATAGTCTGCTATAAAATAACAAAGTTTAGTCAGGATGCTTCATTAAAAGATCGTTTCTTTTCATCTTCCGAAAACTGTTTCATTTCCCCATTTTTCCATCCCCTTATGGTGGAGTAGAAGAAATCAGAAGCCTTGAATTTCCAAATGTCTCCAGATATTTCCCCTCCATTGAAGCTTGATAATTAATTGCAAAGAACATAACCAAAATGAGTATCAGAGTGCTAGAAGAAAATGTGAATGTGTAAATTAATGTGTTACTTTTATTAAATCTCATTTTCTCCTTAAAAGCAAAACAAAGTAAAATATGAAATTAAACACAGATAAATAAAAATGCATAGTGGCCCACCAGTTTGATTAAAGTATAGAATTGATAATACTGCCTGATGCAGTGATAATTAAAGGGTTGCTTTCATCCTTTTCCTTCCTTAAGGTAAAGGTAAAGGTTCCCCTCGCACATATGTGCTAGTTGTTCCTGACTCTAGGGGGCGGTGCTCATCTCCGTTTCAAAACCAAAGAGCCAGCACTGTCTGAAGACATCAGCACACAGAATGCTGTTACCTTCCCACCAAAGGTGATCCCTATTTTTCTACTTGCATTTTTTATGTGTTTTGAACTGCTAGATTGGCAGAAGCTGGGATAAGTAACAGGACCTCACCCTATTACCCGGCACTAGGGATTCGAACCGCTGAACTGCCGACCTTTTGATCAACAAACTCAACATCTTAGCCACTGAGCCACCACGTCCCTTTCCTTCCTTACATGATATTAAATTTTCTGTAAATTCACATTTTTTTTAATTTAGATTTATATGCCGCCCTTCTCCGGAGACTCAGGGCGGCTTACAATGCGCTAAGCAATAGCCTTCATACTTTTGTATATTTATACAAAGTCAGCTTATTGCCCCCACAAACTGGGTCCTCATTTCACCTACCTTAGAAAGGATGGAAGGCTGAGTCAACCTTGAGCCTGGGGAGATTCGAACTTGCAGTAATTGCAGGCAGCTGGATGTTAATAACAGGCTATTAGTCTGCTGCGCCACCAAGCTCTTTTTAGAAAAATCACTATCGATGCCTCTGGCTGCATTCAAGTGATTTTTCTCCCTTAGTCTTTCACGGAACCCCATTAGGTTCCCGTAAAACTTTATTTATTAAATTTATTGGCTGACCACATCGAAATGATTCTGGGTGGCTTTCAAGCATTAAAACATTAAAATCCTAATGATAAGTATTTCTAAGACAATATAAACAGAATTAAAGAGTTCTATAGAAGGGCATATTGAAAATCCCTATTTTAGACCATTTTGAGTCAGATCATAACACTAGTCAAGGCAAGACCGACTTGGTAAATATATATCAAGCAAGGGCCCACAGTAACATTCCATGGAGAGAAAGCAAGGACAACTGAAGCTTCACATAGTATGAGCCGTGGTGGCGCAGTGGTTAGAATGCAGTACTGCAGGTTACTTCTGCTAACTGCTTGTTGCCAGCAGTTCAAATCTCACCGGCTCAGCCTTCCATCCTTCTGAGGTCGGTAAAATGAGGACCCAGGTTGTTGGGGGCAATAGGCTGGCTCTGTAAACCACTTAGAGAGGACTGTGAAGGGGTATATAAGTCTAAGTGCTGTTGCTAAAATGTTTTGAAAGGCCAATATTAGGTTTCAGAAAACAGAAAAAAAGAAAAAGATTGTTTTGCCCATGATGAAAACTCATCATCTTTCTAGCTTTCTAACTAGTAAAAACTAGCCTTTGAGGTAGCGTGAAGCAAAGAAGCCTTCAGTTTGCTTCCTACCAGCATTCCAACATCATTTAGGAAGTAGTCTTGGAAGAGTTGAATTTTTGACTTCTCCATCTTACTTTGCATTAGGAATACCTTCAGATTTTCCCTTGGATGTTGACCTACAGTAGCTATTTGTCTGGTCTGTGGTTTAGGCAATTATGCTTGACCCTTGGACTATTTTATGATCCTGTTACATTAGAACAGTGTTCCACAACCTTGGCAACTTTAAGATGTGTGGATTTCAACTCTCAGAATTCCCCGGCCATCTGGCCGGGGAATTCTGGGAGTTGAAGTCCGCACATCTTAAAAGTTGCTAAAGTTCAGAAACATTGTGCTAAGACTATGGATCCCAGCAAACTACTTTGAAGCAGTATTGCACATGTCAAAACCGTGTGCTATTTCTAAAACCACAATCTGTGCTTAACAAATTGTTACATCATCCTCTGACTGAATTGTTACTAATCTTGGTTAATGTTTGGCCTGTTGCTTTACATGAGCTTTAATCTCAATTGCACTGTTTGTTTTTACCCCTTTAATTTCATGTAAAGTATAGCGCACCTAAACATTTCTCATAAACTAATTGGCAGCCCTGAAGTGCCAAGGGGGAAAATAGCTTATTTTGAAATAAGATTGCTAAAGGTCTGAGCACTTCTTCATGTGAAAGAGTGAAAACCTGGCAGGGTAGAGCTTCCTTGTTTCCATTTCAGGCAAATGCATCACCTGCTGAATGTTTATGTATAAACACAATCTGCAAAAGTGCAGGAGAAGCCCAGGCAGAGAAGTACTTAGGTTTCACAAATATATTGTTTCTTAGAATTAATTAAAAGAAACAAGACCAAAAAAAAAAAAAAAAGTCTTCTCTATTTTCCCCTTTTTCCAGCAGGGGGAGTAATTTAACCAACAATCTCATGATGGAATTTAGCAGCAGAGGTTCTGGTGTGGTTTCCACCAGAGAAGATCTCAACTTTCACTTCTGTATTTGCTAAAAGTGCAGTGAATTTAATGGGCTTTCCAATTGCTGGCTTTAGTCACATGAGTCAGATGAAAAAGTTGGTTTTCTTAACTGGTTTCCATATTCCGAGGGGGTCAGTCTTGCAAACTGAACAACTAAGACAAACAATATCTTTTGAGGTTGTGTCCCATGTGGGACATTTCACTATCAATTGCTGGGTTAACTCTTTCTATGTTTTCAAGCTCAGAGATTCTCAGTCATCCAGGTCATGGTTGTCCCAAAGGTGCTTTTTCAGGAGACAACTGGATTTGCTTGTTTTTCTTTGGAAGATGTTTCGCTTCTCATCCAAGAATCTTCTTCAGCTCTCTTGTCAAGAGCACTACGTCTTCCAAAGAAGAACAAGAAAGTCCAGTTGCCTCCTGAAAAAGCACCTTTGGGACAACTCAGTGCTGGATAGCAAAGGAAGGATTCTACTTATAATTCCACTGCCAACACTTTTTTCAACCTCTTTTAGATCAATCTAGGCATGTGCAGGACAGATTTTCTGAAATCCCATCCCTAATCTTCCCAATTACAATGTCCCTTCAATGCACAGGGAGCTGTAACAAACTAGCTGAATTTTTTTTTGAAAACATCAACCTATTATTCTCAAAGGACAATTTCTTGTGGGTTATATATAACCAGCAGGGAGCCTGGTGGAATCAACTAGGACAAGAATTTTCTTAAGGAACACCTGCTTTATGGAGTTCCTTTCTCACAAAGTGCAGTCTAATCCCTTCCTGGCTGAATTCAAGAAGGAAGGCTCAACATCACACTCAAGATTTAGGATTTTTGTCTTTTAGCACAGATGTTTCATACTTCATACTGTAGCATGGTTTTGAGTATTGAGCTAATTTAAGGATTTTATACTGCAAAGCTTAAGATGTTGTTGAATTTTACTGATGCTCTTTTTCGATTTATTGTTTTTACCACCTCGGTTGGTTAAAAGTGGATGGCTTATAAATATGGCAAACAAACAGCTGTGTGGTTAATTATTATGGTAAAGTTAAGTAAGCAGTAAAGAAACAGAAGGGTTCAGGTATTGTATGCCGCCCAGTCACTTCTTTTGTGAGATGGGCAGCCATATCCCCATCATGTCTCCCTTAAGTCTTCATCAGACTGAATAACCCAAATTCCTTCAGCCTGTATTTATAGTGCACGATGTGCTCCATATACTATTATTTCCCAATCTTGTTTCTAGATTTTGCATACTTTTATGTTTGCGTTTCGAAATGCTGTCAGCTGCCTTCTTGAAGAGGTGGTATTAAATATTAAACTAGTAGTTGTTGTTAAAGTACAACTGTTATTAAGAAGATATAGATCAGCAGCCCTCCTTTTCATGTCAGAATGCACTTGGAGATTTCATTTTTTAATCAAACTCCCCTCACATCAGGCCTTCTTTATTAGGTCGGATGACTCACTCCGTCTCCTACCTATCTACTTTTTGCAAAGGAAAGTTGTGTTTCATAAAACAAATAATGCTAGCGGATATGGCTGAGAAACCAACAGGATATTGGCCCGATTTTCTCTCTCTTTTCATCTAGATAGCTCTTGATGAGTCCCTCATTTGCCTTTCATCTACAGATATACAGTATCTACTTTTCTATGAGGTTTTGGGAAATCTCAGCTCGTCTTTGGTATTCTTTGATGCTGCAGAGAACCAAAGGGGGACAAAATGTTATCTGAATCACACGAGAGCTTTTTTTCCATGACCATCAGAACTAAGGAATATATGTATGATTTTAATTAAAAAAAAAAACTTCTTCAAAGTTTTATGTGGAGCTAAACAATATCAAGGGGACACGGTGGCTCAGTGGCTAAGACGCTGAGCTTGTTGATCGAAAGGTTGGCAGTTCAGCGGTTCGAATCCCTAGTGCCACGTAACGAAGTGAGCTCCCATTACTTGTCCCAGCTTCTGCCAACCTAGTAGTTTGAAAGCACATAAAAAAAATGCAAGTAGCAAAATAGGGACCACTTTTGGTGGGAAGGTAACAGCGTTCCCTGCGCCTTTGGTGTTTAGTCATGCCGGCCACATGACCACGGAGACGTCTTCGGACAGCATTGGCTCTTTGGCATTGAAACGGAGATGAGCACCGCCCCCTAGAGTCGGGAACGACTAGCACATATGTGCAAGGGGAACCTTTACCTTTACCTTTAAACAATATCATCACAGATATATGGTTCACAAAAATGTTGGCATATGTATCTTATTTTGTAACAAATGTAACAAACCACAACCCGCCTTTCCATGATTAGTTGAATTATGCTTTTCTCAATCCAATTTTTGAGGTTCACAAAAGGGCTTGGAGGCTAAATTGTATGACGAACAGTTGCGGGATCTAAGTTTGTCTAGCTTATCAAAGAGAAGGATTGGGGATGGACATAATAGTTGTGTTCCAGTACTTTAGAGGCTGTCACAAAGAAGAGGGGATTGATTTATTCTCCAAAGCACCAGAGGGCAGGACAAGAAGTAATGGACGGAAGCTTGTCAAAGAGAGATACAATCTAGAAGTTAGAAGAAATTTTCTGGCAGTGAGAACAATCAAACAAAGGAATAGCTTGCCTCCCGGGGTTGTGGCTTCTCTATCACTGCAGGTTTTCAAAAATAGACGGGACAACCATTTGACTGGAATGCTATAAGACTCCTGCCTTGAGAAGGGGGTTGGACTAGAAGATCTCTGAGGACTCTTTCAGCCCTATGATTCTATGATTCAAACCTCACACATCAGGCCAGGCAAAAGTGTAGCTGGAAAGTTTGTGGATCAAAATGACACCTCCCAAACCCCAGCATATGTCAGCTCAACTTTTCTGCAGTCTATTAATGATCCAAGAGCCCTGTCTTTTGTACTTAATTAGGGTCAAAAATCAAAATACTCATGTATTATAATGACCATGGTCCTAGCTTTGCTGGAAGCAGATCAGTGGTGAAATCCAATTTTTTTTTACTACCGGTTCTGTGGGTGTGGCTTGGTGGGCATGGTGTGGCTTGGTAGACATGGCAGGGGAAAGGATACTGTAAAATCTCCATTCCCTCCCCACCCCTGGGGGAGGGATATTGCAAAATCTCCATTCCTACCCCACTCTGGGGCCAGCCAGAGGTGGTATTTGCCAGTTCTCCGAACTGCTCAAAATTTACGCTACCGGTTCTCCAGAACCTGTCAGAACTTGCTGGAGCAGATAGTATACAAATTGAATAAATGCAGAAATAAATTTACATGCAGTTTTAGCATGATCTTTTTTTCTGCCAAAGTTTCTACAGTGTAAAGGGAAAGCTGTTTTTATGTCTGAGGAATGGTTTGTTTTCTAAACAGTCATTCTTAAGTCTTAAGGTTGCACCTGAAAAATGGTAGATATGTTTGAAACACATACATGTATCTCATTCATAACATGCTTGTTCTGAAATGCCGTGTGAGCGCCGGTTATCAGCTTCCATTTTACAGAAGGCCAATTCATTAGACCGAGTGACATTCCATCTATTCAAGGTGTAAAGGCAGGCCTCTGAGAATCAAAATATAAAAATACTTCTTTGAACCTAAAAGAATGGAAAGATAATTCCCTAATCAATTTCCCTAGAAATATCCTGCAATGCAGGTATTCAAAAACAACACAGAACACAGCTGCCCCAAATAAATGTAACCTGTTTTGGAAACCTGTTCTACCGGCAAGATTTTCTGTACCTCATCGATGGAATATGTGTCATCAGGTTAGTATTAATTTTTAGACACCATGTGCGGACAGATTTTCTGTAAGAGAATTTATCACCAATGTGGTCTTTCAGGACTTCCAAAAGTGCATCCATCACTGCTTTAATTGCTGCTGGTTGCTTTCTTTGAAATATAATAATCTGACCCTCGATATTTGAGTTTCAAGTGAGCATTCTGTGTTGACTTGTTCTATGATGCATTGGATTAATTTCTTTTGGCTCCCCTGCTATACCAGGGGAGCCAAATGCATGAAATGCTCCCGGTTTGGACTGGTTCGGATAAATCGGTAGTGATGGCGGCCGGTGGTTCGGAGAACCGATAGCGATTGTGGTGTGAGGCTCCGCCCAACTGCCCAGTCATTACTTCCTGGTTTTAACCAGGAAGTAACCTGTTTTTTACCCTCTGCGCATGCGCAGAAGGGTTTGCACATGCGCAGAGGGTCCAAGCGCGCATGTGACGCGCATGCACTTCCGAACTGGTTGGGAAGGTAAGTAGATTTCATCCCTGTGCTATACTCAGGAGTTATCTCCAATGCCAAAGTATTGATCAAAGTGTCAATATTCTATCCCACTTCTTCAACATTCTTTTTCATAGAATGTCTCAGACAAAACCACAGATGTCACAGCACACATAATACAATACCCACTCCATCCTTCCTGAGGAAGCCTATAGCTCCAACCCTCTGCTCACCTTCTGTGATTCATAAGTAGTTCCCGATGAAGTTCTTGGTGGCTTTTTGAGGCTCTTACAGGATTGAGCAGCTTTTTAGGTTTGATCAGATCCGGGTTCCCATCAAGATAATCAGGATGAGTCATGATATTCCCAATATCAGGCCGCTCTGATTGTATGTCTGAATACATAGATGCTGGGGGAGGAAGAGACATCAGACAATGCATCACAATAACTGAAAGAAATTCTCAGAAACCAGGCATATATCAAACTCAAACCCCTCAGATTTTAGATTCCTATCTCTGAAGAAAGTCACTCTTTTGTATTGGAAATCTTACACTCTAATTTGGAATTATTTCGGCCCAGAAGACTAATTAAGTAAAATATAATTTGAACCCCTGTGATTTTGATTAGTACAGATGGTAGATGTGCAGTGACACTGTATAACTACTAGAATTTTGGAGAAGCAATCAATATCAGTTTCTCTCATTTTCTAATTTTTCCCCCCAAACACCATCACTCTGCTAAACAAATAATTCCCTCAACACTGTCAAACTAGTTATTAAGTCTCCATTATTATTAATCTTCTCATCGTTCCTATCACCCATCTCCTCCCACTTATGACTATATGACTGTAACCTTGTTGCTGGTATCCTTACGATTTATATTGACTGTTTCCTAATATGATTTGATTATTTATTTCCCGTGACTATCATTAAGTGTTGTACCTTATGATTCTTGATGAATGTATCTTTTCTTTTATGTACACTGAGAGTGTATGCACCAAGACAAATTCCTTGTGTGTCCAATCACACTTGGCCAATAAAGAATTCTATTCTAATTTTTGTTAATATTTTAGTAATCAAAGTAAATCAATCTCTTCTATGCCTAAATTCTCTCATGTACATAGTCATAAATGAATGATGATAATAATTCTAAATTGAATAAAAATTCTTTGGTTTGCAACTGATTCCAAAAATACAAATTTGGAATTGCTTTCCTTCACATGTATGCTAAACAAATTTCTCCCTTTCCCTAGTCAGTGCTCAGAACCACATCTACCTGTAAATGACTTCTTCAGCTTGGAAGCAGATCCTGACTAGCTTAAGATCATTATACACAAATGTTTGTATGCTCATCAAAAAGCCACACTAGTTTCCTACATCCTGAAGTCCTCTTCATAAGTTGGAACGACAACACCTAGCATCCTCAACCAGCGTGACCAATGGTAGGTATGCTCATCTGTTTATGTTTTCATCTGACATGTGAGATTTATGTAATAAGATTTAAACCCCATCTTTCTTCTGAGAGTTTATACATAAATTGAACAAACAAGAGGCAGAAGGAGTGCCAGTTTAAAAAAAAATGTTTTGGTTTGATGCATGTTGAAAAATGCATTCCTTTTTCAGAAGTTCATCTGGAACATCCCCAAAATATTTCCTTTTCCTCTTCACTGCATGTCCTCCTCTCTCATCAGTCTCCCATAACTGTAACCATGTGGGGTGGACCAAACACTGCAAAGATAGCAACTCAGCCAATCTATGGCTGAAAGTGGACATGGATCTGAGTCTTCCTGGACTTAACCTAAAAGTTTTAATTGTCTGTCACCTGAAGGAACAATGCTGGAAAAATGTACTTCAGAGGGCCATAGATATCTGGTTGACATGGCCATGGGATGAGTGGGAGGAATTCAATAGAGGAGACGCAACTTGTAGGTAACGTGGAGAGAGAGAGAGAGAGAGACAGAGAGAGAGAGAGAGACAGAGACACAGAGACAGAGAGAGAAGAGACAGAGAGAGAGAGAAAGGCATATTCAAGGAATGTTTATTTTGAAAACCTATACAGAACTAAAACAGCATTTGATTCCCTTCCATAATGCTCTTCTACATCTCCCTTTCTGATTGCTGGACTTGTTCTACTTTTTATCAAATATCTCCAGAGCCCAATAGGAAGCTGAAAGGGAGACGGCACATTAAGTAGTGAAAAACAGAAAACGTTCATAGTTATTTTTTCTTTTGTAAACAGAGAAAGTGACTGAATTCATACCACCCCAATGGTTCCCTCCTGCTTTGGTACAATGACAGGTCTCTGATGGCTATGGAAAAAAGACCCAAGCAAAACCAACTGACATGGATTACATCACTATAATTGGGGTGAAAAGTTCAGGGCCACAATTAAGCACCACAGGAGGAATAAGAGGGTCTTGTGACTCCTTTCGCTAAGTACGAGTGGGTTTTATTACCATTTTTTTTGTCCAAGGAAATTGCCAACGGTGTGGAAAGCCACAAGGGAGGTTGCCTGCTTATCTCACTCCTTTTCTTTTTCAAGAAATATTTTCTAGTTATGCTTTGAAATGATGCAGACAGTTTCTGTAACTTGGAAAACTCAACATGGTTTGGGAGTCCACAGAATATAGAGGTGGGTGGCTAAGTCTAATATGGCTCCTGGAGAGTTACCATGCTAAGATTGAACAAAATTTGGTACCAAACCCCTTGTGCTGCCAATAGCATTGGACTCCCAAGTTTTAGGATGATTAAAATCAGAATTTTTGCCTAGTAAAAACAAGCCCATTAATAAAACACAGGGAGCAGGGAGGCTGTCCTGTGTCTTACCAATCCAAGATTTAGAAATGTTTGCCTAAGGAACCTGTTTTATTTGTTTCTTCAGGCAGATGGTTATTTTCAAGGTACTGCAATACCTGACATTTTAAAGACCATGAGTCTGGGACACAGGAATGGGAGAAGAAGTTTGCAAGGGTAATACGGAGGAGACAAGATTCATTATACGAATATGAGTATATAACACCCTGGCTCAAGTCAATAGAAAGGCGAAGAAAAGCAAAACTGAATGCCATTTATGATGTATATCAAATGAATGATCATTGCAGTATGTGGCATAACAAGCCACAGTTCATAGCAAAAGCTGATGATGAAATGCCGCCTAGCTCAACCTGGTGCCCTCCAGAGGCCTTGGATCTGCATGAGAGGGTGCCACGTTAGAGACAAATTGTACACTGTATTCACTTTCCAACAATGGAAAAATGCTATTCAACCATCCATGTCTTCTTGAAAAAAAAAAAAAAAAAAGATGAGATCCCTTTCTTGGATCAGACACATAACAGAACTTGATGCAGAGGGCCAAATGCCCAAGAGGGAGGCTCTTGCACCTTCAAATAACACGACCCTCATCATTCTCACTTCTGGGTAATTGTGGTCATTGCACCATTCTTCAAGAAGAAAAAGGCTTCATGTATATTTACATTGGCAACCTTCAGTCTCAAGAGACTATGGTATCGTGCTCTGGAAAGAGGTCCTAAAACAGCATCTAGTGTGACTAAAAAGGCCAATTCGAGAGTGGCAATCCCTTCCACACTGAGGGCAGATACATTCTGTCCCCTGCCCAGCCCCCAGATTTCGCTGGTTCTGGGACTGCCTCTTTGCCTCAGCCTGCCGAACAAGTGTCTCTTCGAATTGGAGAAGGCCATGCTGCGTCTTTAGCCTCCAAGCTGAACGATCGGAGGTCAAGGTTTCCCAGTTGTTAATGTCCATTCCCAGGGCCTTTAGGTTCCTCTTGCAGACATCCTTATATCGCAGCTGTGGTCTCCCTCTGAGGCGCTTTCCCTGCACTAATTCTCCATACAGGAGATCTTTCGGAATCCGACCATCAGCCAGTCTCACGACATGCCCAAGCAAGCATAGACGTCACTGTTTCAATTCATGTACAGACAGCAGAAAAACATCTGTGAGGGTTGCCCTCAAATATGTGGACCAGTAGTGGGTTCCACTTACCTTCGCTACCAGTTTGGAATCGGGAGAGCGTGTGGCGCTTTTGCGCATGCGCAGAGCGTCCGTGATGACATCCAGGTGGTGGGCGGAGCCTCCCACTGCCGCCACTACCGGTTCGCTCGAACTGGTGTGAACCGGTAGAAACCACCACTGATGTGGACAGCAAGTGAGGCGGTATGATTAGGGAAGGACTGTAACTCAGGGATAGACCCCACTGTTTGCCCATGAAAGAGTCCATTTTAGTTCCCAGTATTTATTTTTATTCGTTTATTAAATTTATATGCTGCCCATCTTGCCTAAGAGCAACTCTAGGTGGTTTACAATGAAGTATCTCAATTTTGAAGCATTTCTGTCTGATATCCTAGCAGTGGTCCCCCAACCTTTCCAGATTGGCAGCCTGCCATGGGGGGGGGGGGAAGAGGAAATGTTTTTGCACGAGGGGCAGGCATGCATGTGTGTGCATAGCTTCATTTGAGTGAGTGTCAGGTGCACGCACCCGCCACTTGTGTGAGTAGGGCTGCGAGGGCACGTGCCTGCCACTTGTGCAAGTGGGGCTGTGTGCACGAGCTCCCGGGGCTCGCATGAGTGGAGCTATGCGTGCATGCGTGCTCACTTGTTGCTTGCAGGGCTCGGTTCAAAATGGTCTGTGGCTCCCTCCCGGGTCGTGGCCAGGAGTTTGGGGATCCCTGTCCTAGAGAGCTCCTGCCAACATCATAAATCACCATAAAGAGCTGAACCAGATAGCAATAGCACTTAAGACTTATATACCGCTTCGTAGTGCTTTTATAGCCCGCTCTAAGCGGTTTACAGAGTCAGCATATTTCCCCTCAACAATCTGGGTCTTTATTTTACCCACCTCGGAAGGATGGAAGGCTGAGTCAACCTTGAGCCTGGTGAGATTCGATCTGCTGAACTGCAGCCGGCAGTCAGCTGAAGTAGCCTGCAGTACTGCACTCTAACCACTGCGCCACCTCGGCTCAGATAAGCCATGGAACTATGTTATCAGAGACTTTTGAGGCAGAGTCCCTCAAGCACAGTGAAAGGGACCTTTTCTTGTGTAACTTACATTAGATGGTCTTCCTGAACCTGCAATTTGTTTATTCTTTCCCAATTTCAATACATTCACCCCAACCTTTCTGCAAGAAATAATCTTCTTATGCTTCATCCTCGTTTTTGTCTTCATCTCTGCTCTGAAAGGTAAATTGGGTTGAGATGCAGTACGAGGTGTTCCGGCAGCCTCATGCCTGGAGATTTGTATCTTCTGGGCTTAATCTGATGCTGTGATCAACATCTCCTGCCTTCTCTCTCTCACACAAAAGTACTTTTGGCAAAGGAAACTGTCTTTCTGTTAATGCACTGTTTGTCCTTGAATTACGTAAGTTCTATGGTTGTTTCAAACCAGATACTGCTA